TAACTGATCATCTCCCAGCCAGCAGTACCAGAACCTGTTTAGGTCATGTGATCCTGGAGATAAAAGCCAGGATCTGTAACAGCAGGAGATACACATTGTATCATTTAATAATACTTGTGTATTGGTTGATCGTTTAGGGATACCCATTGACCCAGATGTGATAAGTATCCAGAAATAGAGTATGACCATTAATTATTCTTTGTAATTTTATCCCAGCTGATTTAATTTAGAATTATACATGCATATAGCACAAAAAATCTTAGTGAGAAAAAATGGGTGAAGTCTGCCTTGGATTATAATCAACCACTGCAGTAATGATTGTTTAGTATATTGCAGACTGCCTGAAATTGTCTTACAACTTGTAAATGCAAGAGGAGAGTTTTAGATTTATTCAGAATCTGTGTGTTTAGATTTCAATGTTTATTGTTGTGTACCCAACAATTTTTACAGTTCTTAGTGTCAGAATTAACTTCATATTTGCTTATAACTTGACAAAAAAATGGAGACAAACCAGTCACTATGCTTAGTAAACTGTGCCACTGATTGTTATTGTTGTAAAAATCTTGACTCCTGGTGTATCCTTTTGTTTGTGTCTGGGTGAGATGGGGAAGTTTTGGCAGATGTGCCAGAGAGTGCACTTCTGCAATCAGACCTGGACTGAGTCCAAGGCACACAGCTGAAGAAATCACTGCAGTGCTGGAAGGTGTATATCTTTGTGTTTATGATCCACTAGAAGTATTTCAAATCAAGTAAATAAATGTAAACTTTTGAGTTTGTAAACACAGTAATTACAGATTGAGATGGATGGCAGTTGAGTAATCCTGGGGGGTAGCTCCTGGTGTCTGATTAAGAAGATACATCACTTTACTTTTTTTTGTAGGCTGTAGCTAGTTCTTTAATGTTATTCACTGGTTACACCTTAATTTTAAATGAGAATATATAAAGTTGTGATTGAGTTATGAAGTGTTCTATGATCTGAGGGTCACTTGCTTTATAAGATGACCTTTTGTTTAGGAACTAGTTTGTTCTCTCCATTGTGAGATTTTCAGTGAGTGATCTAGATGATGAACACCATCACTCCTCATCCCCCTTCCACCAACTTTCTTGTTTTTTTTTTTTTTGGGGGGGGGGGGGTGAACAGTGCACCTGTATCATATGTTAACATGGTCATCATGATCTTTGTCTAATTTTAGGTTGCTTGTATCCACTGTTTGTAGATTTTCCAGTATGAAAAACATAAATAAGGTTTTTCAGGTTTACTTTGGAAAGTTTCATCTTATCTACTCTCATAGACATTGGGAGTAGAAAATGACAAAACAAATCTTCTTGATGTGTACTGTATATTATAAACCCTTTGCCTTCATGGGTAAAATAGACCATTTATGGATTTTGCAAATATTACAGTAACTATGCAAATGGTTCATTTCTTGAGAACTAAAAGGTTAATGCCCTAGTAGGGAGGTCCCTTTGTTCTGGGTATAGGGGCTTTTAGAACTCTTTTATGTATCTTGTTTAATGGGGGTAATTTGAAAGATGATAAGGAGAGGAAGAGTTATGTTCCTCTCAGACTCATGTGACCGTGGGATTTTGGGTTACACTCTGTAAGGCTTTAGAGCGACTGTGTAATTTCTGTGCTGTGTCAATCATTCAGTCTTTGTCTGAAGCCACCCAGGGCTTTTTGTTCCAACACAAACAAAGCACACAAAATATGGATTGTGTATTTTTTTGTTAAAAAGTGTGCAGTTGAAAGATTTTGTATAGAGGCGATTTGTCTTGAGTATGTGGAAAAAGGTGTTAATCAGATTTAGAATCAAAATCTGCATTATAGTTATGTATTTTTTTTCTTCCTTTTTAAATTTATTTGAATCAGGTTAGAATTTCTTCAAATTATCACTGTCTATTCACAATAATTAATGTTTAAAAATGTCAATTAAAAAATTCTCTTTCATACATTTCAAGTGATAATTGGTCAGTCATTCTCATTAACTTGTTTCAGTTGCAAACAGTTTTCTTGTGTAGGCTTTCTTTAAAAAAAATTGTCCTTATCAAATATTTGCAAGTGCATGCAGTTTTCGTTAATCTAATGTTCTGGGCCATGTGTATACATATTTCAAATACTTCAGATCTATTTTAAAGCACCTAAACAATTTTGATAAGTGAGGTTAAACTAATTGCTGTGGTATTTTGAAAGTGGCTGATTCAGATAGTCTTCTTTCCTCAATTTTTAACATGCATATAAATTTATTTTTGTATCAAGTAATAAAAAAAAAAGTTTATTCTGTGAATTCACACAAAGAAATCTTTTAAAATTTGAATGTCTGTGTATCTGTATAATAACCCATCACCTCAAGGATTAATATAGGAGCAGGTCTATTTGTAGATACAACCTCAGCAGGCTTGCTACAATTGTACATTGTAAACAAGGATTAAATGCAGAGTCACAGAGCCCTGTACTAGACTACCCCACCACAAGGAGATAGATTAGGTCTGGAGTCTATGTGGGGTTCCAGATTACCTAGTGTAACACATAGAACCCTTCAGTGGGCAGATCTATTTTCTTTTTGAAGATTATGATACTTCAGGTTTTATGTTGTCTTCTCATAAACAGTCATGCATTTTCAAACTTGTTTGCTGAATGCATTAAAAGATAGTGTACATCCTGTATTAAGCAAAGTGATTTTCGTTACCTGTGCGGAAAAGTCGACAGGTGTGTGTGGCAATTGGAATGTTGGAATTTAGTAGAATTACCAAATACAGATGTGTATGAATCAGAAAGGAATGTAGTCAAAATGCCATGAGCCAAAAAATATATGCATCGAAAGTACATATTTTAGAAATTGATTCAGTTTATAGTTTCTATACTAAAATATAAATACATTGATTTTTTATATTGCAGTACAGTTACATGCAATGTTTCAAGCTCGAAAAAGTTGAATCTCTTCAAATCCACCATGATGAACAAGTTCTCAGTTTACCCCAGGTGCATGAATAAAACCATTGATAGCTAGCAAACAGTGTGGGAGGCCAGAAATCGGCAAACTGTACAGATTAAATGGCCAACAAAATGGGAGAACCCTGAACATAGTCTGAAAGTCAGCTAGGTGTACACATGTTTGTTAAAATGTCTGGAGTTTTAAATTTGGTTTACAGCTCTTGTACTGGTCATAATCTGGTATTGTGTGGCTGTCATAGAGGGCTAAAATTAGCCCGGGGAGTGTTTGTACACTTGACACACTTGCACATTACTGACACATTTGACTTTTTGTGTCAATAACTGTAGGTAACAAAAAGGCTTGAACACTACAATGTATAAATAAAAAGATTAAATTGACAAAGTTGTATGCCTAATTCAAGGGATTTAGAAAATTATCTATACAAATATTATTTCAATGTACTGACTGGAGTAAATTTATTTCATTAAAGAATTAAATAACAATTCAGCATTAATTATATATTGCCCCATGGTTCAGAGTTCCTTCAAGTGCTTGAACCGGATAAAAGAATACCTGCATGTAAGATTAAAGAGAAATTCTTCTTTCTGTGACAGTTGATGATTGGGATTACTCACTGGAGTGGTATTTTAAACTTCAGATCATGCTCTGAATTACTTTATTTAGGAGGCAACACTGATAACTACTACAGATGCATGGGAAAATGTGGAGTTTTGAAACTCCACCCTCAGTTGTATAAATTGCTCATTCTTGTCTGCAGATCAGAGATATAGCTTTTGATCAACTTCTTTTAGATATATATGTAAGTGTATTAAAGATGTGTCATCTGCATGGTAATATAAATGTACAGTGCCTCATCCATTGTGGTAGGACATTGATATGTCTGTTTAGGTGCTTTGCTGTAGAAATAACATGTTTGAATAATCATGAATGAAATAAACCTAGTGATGTGAAGAGAGTGGGTCATATGGTGATAGGGCATCAGAACCAGTCACTTTCATGCACTCGTCTGGCTTCAATATTCTGCTGTTGTCATCTGCATCCTAATTGCAGAAGTTATGAATGAATCATGCATTGCCTGTCGAACTCCTGTGGCGATAGTGCCCTCATGTAGACTTTGTTTTGGCAGCCCTGGAAGAAATATGACTGGTCAAAGATGAATGAGCTGCATATGCTCAGGAGGGGTAAAAGCTGGGAGGTGGAAAGATTCAGTGAAGCATGACTTGGCAGTAAAAGATCTGTCTGCTTCTGATTCATTCAGCTCTCTTTGGCACCTGTGACCTACTTCACACTGAACACACTCAATTCTTTGGGGTTTTTTTCCCTTGATTTTAGATGTATTGAGGTTAATGTTAGAGATAAAATGCCAGGTCTCTGAAATTGTCATGATTGTGAACTTATTTTATATTGTTGTGTATACTCAGCTTTATATAAACCCTTTCATTTAAAATCTATTTAACCAGGATATGACAAGAACATCATATAAAATGTACTGTCAAGATTATAAAAGTATGTAGGTTCCTCAACAACAACAATTTTAAATTGTAATTTAAATGTTCATGCAGATTATTATATACGTTGTTAAACATCAAATATTGTGCTGTTTACATTAATTTCATTTTGATACTGAGTGCACAAAATGGATTTGGTTACTCAAGAAGTCTGATACATATATCATTTATATATACATTTATTCACACATGTAGTAAGTGTAAAACAAAATATTTCTTTTTAAAACTCATGCTTTTGGGAATCATTAAACATTTAAAGGGTGGTTCAAAAATTAAATGTTATTATTGTGTATGTTCTGTAAAAATCGAGTTCCATCACTGAAGGGCAGTTCAAAAATATATAAAGTGCATGGTATTCTATATGTTCTGTGTTAAAATTTAATTTATTGTACAACTCAAGTGAAGCTTATAAACATTTGCACTAATGTAGATGTCCATCCATGAGCCATGTGGTCACTAAAGCAAAACCAAAAACACACACACAATCAAATCGAATGTTTAGAAACAGTTTTGAATAAGACATGTTTTTACTTTGTAGTCACTTAACCCAGATCACCACCTGGCAAGACCCCAGGAAAACAGGCAGCTCTAATGCTCTAAACAGTCGAACACCGCCACCCAACTCTCAGTCCCCCAATGTGTCACTCCAGAACCTGGGGCCATTACCACCAGGGTGGGAGCAGGCAAACACAGCAGAGGGGGACATATACTTCATCAACCACATAGAACGTATCACAAGCTGGTACGACCCACGCATACGTACGTATTAACACATTTCTTCTTTCATATTCATTTTAGTGAAAATAATGGATGTGGATATATGTAAACAAAACTCTGTTTGCAGTTCATGATTTAAAAAACAAAAATTCAGAATCAAATTGATTTGAATTTCATTCCATGTTCATATATTTAGTTTATTTTACCTAAATACTTTAGAAACAAGTGCTGTTTTTACTTGATAAATTTTATGCTGTAATATAAAACTTGTTGGTTTTATGGTTTTTGGTTCACAATTTTTGAACGGTAAAAGATGAATTCATTTTTTCATGTACCGGTATTGATTGTGAGGTCATCTATTGATTATTTAAGTCAAAATGAAGTTTACCACAGCCAATCATTTTTGTTTTCACACATACATAACTTTGTAGCTGAACAACTGCAGCAGTTAAGACTCAGTGGTTCACAACCACAGCTGCAGAGACAGATGCAGTCCCCGAGACAAATGGGGCAAACACAACCCCCCTCAATCAGTCGTCCAGTGGGTGCCAAATCCCCAGCCTCAGTTCAGTTTTCAAAAATTCAAATGGAAAAAGAATTACTGCGCAAAAGGCAGGAAGACCTACAGCGTCAGGTAAGAAAAAATTGTAAAATTCTCTTAAAGTTTTTTTTATATTAAATTCAGAGAGTATGGTGTTTTGTATTTTGTATACTCATTATGAAAGTTACTGCCTACCATACCGAGATATAGGGCACCTTTGTCAGTTTCTCTGTCAACATCTTTAAATCTTGGCCATATCTTTTGACCAAATGTATCATTGAGTCAGAAACTTCATATTCAGTCAATGTTAAATGATTAACAGGAAATGATGCTGAAAGCGCAGATGCAGCAACAACAGGTTTATGAAAATCCACCTAATTCTCAAGGCATTGTGATATCTCAAGCTCTTGAAATGACAACAGTGACAGACCCCTTCCTTGGCCAGTCTAATGTGACGGCTAACCACATCAAGCAGGAAAGCTCAGACAGTGGCGTTGGTAAGTGACACAGTCCCTGGTTGTGCTGTGGTTTTGGAAGGTCGAGTCAATTATTTTCTTCGTTTCTTCACCAGTAACACACTGCAGACTTGTACCCTCTCTGTAATAGTGCTGTAACATTGTGACTCTTTTTTTCTGTGGCCACAAGGTGTAGGTTTGTGTAATCATTTACTAAAAAATAGAATGTGTTTTGAAGCAGTGCATTTGTCACTTAATTAACAGAAGATTTATGAAATTGAGCATACAGAATTTTCAAGAGGTTAACCCAGAATTCAAAAAAGGACAATTCCATTTCATCATCAACAATCACGTGAAAGATAATTTCATCATATTTATCATATGCAGAGTTATAAGACATAACCATTCTTTTAGAATGAAAATGAAATTTAAAAAATGATAAAATAAAAAAAAAAAACATGTATTTATATCTATGCTTCAAAATTTTTGCTTGTGTAATTATTATGGACTTAAATGTAATATCTGAAAGCTAATTAAACAAATTTTAAATTTTTCTAATTTCAATAAGTAACTGCATTGAAATGTCAGTTTTGCCTGACTCCAGAATTGTTTAACCAGTTAACCATGCTAAGAGAGTATTTTCTGTTTTAAATTAAGGAGGTATGGGTACGGGGACTCCATACAGTCTCTCTCGAACTCCTGAAGATTTCCTTAGTAACGTCAGCGAAATGGAGCAAGATGGAGGTAATTTGTCCCCCTTCAAATCTCTCCTTCTCTTATCAAGGGTCAGGGGGGATCAAGCAGTGTTTTTCAGTAGGGAATATTTTTCAAGGAATATTATAATAGGAGTGTTGTTGTCCATGCTATGAACAAGAAGTCTGTTAAACATACATGTAGGTGCAGGGTGAACTGTTCATGTGTTTATCCAATATTGTGGGTAAGGAGGGATATATGGTAATATTTTGTTTGTTTTATCAAATGCTGTTAGATGGTTCTGCAGTGTCTTTTAAAGACATACCAAAAAAAAACATCTTATTTATTTGAGTAAATGAATTGAAGACTACAAATTTCTTTGAATTACAAAATTTGAAATTCAGATGATTCTATCTTAAAATTTGTACACAGTGACATAAATTTATTGTTTATTTTTGTATTAGTTCCTAATATACTATTCTGATTCACAGTCTTCAATTTATATAGCTCTCTGGATGTACAGTCTTGCAGTATAATACATGCTTTGAAAATCAAAAAAAAATTCATAAAGATCCCACTGTTTTTCTGTTAATCTCCATTGTGTAAAATATATTGTAACGCTTACTTTGTGTAGTCTCTGTATTCACTCGACCAACCATTACCAATATACAATGTGCCTAACAGTGTATCATATACTCACCAATTTTATTACATGTCTATGAGGAATTCTTGCAGTTCTTTTGGTAAAAAAATTGAGACAATTCTATTCTATGGTTATATTCTCTATCAAAGACAGAGGTTGGGACTATATCTATTCACTGAGATGTTGTTTTGGTCTTGTGAGGAACATCCTTTTGTTCTTTTATTACCATACATAGGAAAATTTTCACCTCAATAATATTTTGCCCTATTCGTCACTGGGAATGAAATGTAATGAGACAGAGTTATCTCTCTTTTGATGCAACTATGTCTGGGCAACTTTAAAGTTGGCTGTATCATAGAGCAACAATAACCCTGTTATAGTATACTTGGGAGAAAGCTTATCTTTCTTTGTTTGTGTGTGTTGACTATTTATCAATTTTACATATCAGTTTGTTTGCCAAGAGCCATTATATTAATAACATGATAAAGTTTTAGGTTGGTTTTGTAGGAGGACACAGACACAGTGAATTCAATAATATGGACATTGGTAACATTGGAGGAAATGAGGAAAACAGCAACATGGACAGTGAGGATTTGGTCCCAAGTCTGCAGGTCAGTTTGCCCCCCCCCCCCCCCCTTCATATCATGATTTGTTTACATGAATGACCTTGTAAGCTTATTTCAAAGAACCAACAACTGCTAAACTTCAGTGGATCAATTTGCTACTGTTGATTGATAATTCTTATATTATCATGGTAACGGAATCCAACTAGTCATTTAAAGAGCCATGAGACAAGTATCTTGCATATTGATTTTTATTATACCTCATATAAATAATTACTAGTAAAATAGAACCTGATTGGACGAGACAGTCACATGACCGTCGTGTTTGCCCTGCAACAAAACTTTGTGTTTCACGTCGTGTTTCACGATTATGACGTCGCAATGCAGCGACTGAGTTTACTGTTGAGTTAGATTGTTTATAATGTTGATTGATTATGTCAATTTAAACGTGTAAAATATAAATATTTAGAAAAGTGTTTTCATGGATGGGGTTTTAATGTTACTGATGTGTAAATTACACTGACTTGTCATGAAGGAATGTTTTTTATGAAGCGCGACTAGTGGGGTAACTTACTTCTGTTTCATATTATTCTTATCAAATGTTTACTTTATTAATTGGATTTTCTTTACATTTCCTGCATTGTGCATGATTCGGTGTAATAAACAATTTATTGCATGAATGTTCGGGAGACATGAAGATTTCTTCGCCCATGAAAAATCATATTCCCCTTGGGCGTTGCCCTCGGGGAATGTGATTTTTCATGGGTGAAGAAATCTTCATGTCTCCCTCACTATCATGCAATAAATGTATAATGTTCTACTCTTTCACTGAAAGTTAAAAAGTATGAAAATAACCATTTTTTTACTTTATATTTTGCAGGAAGACATCAGTAATGAACTGTTAAATGATATGGAGAGTGTGTTGAATGTCAATAAACTGGATAATATTCTCAGTGGGGACAATTCACTCACTTGGCTGTGAAACAGAAACAAACTTCATATTCCATGTTGCATCTCCTCTGTCACATGACACAAGGTCATGTGACCACCAGTAGCAGAGTAAGAGGAATCTTATGTACTGCCAAACCTTATGTTGCACAGTTTAGTGAGAAAGTTATTTTTCAAATAGATTTTTTTTTAGAATATCAGGGAAAATGAGAAAGAGAAATAAAAAGTTATATTTTGTACTCTCTCATCGGCATCTCCATCATTATTGTTCATTATCATATATTCTCCATGTGTTCCATGCCCATTATTTTTCTATGCCAGTGTTATATGAAATTATAATTATATTGCAATGGTTTTTAGCACAATAACATAATACATGCAGGACAGTGATAATATAGTCTGCTTTGTTCTACAGAGTATGTATCCTGTGGAATCATTCTAATTCATGGGAGGTGAATGTTCATGGGCAAGCAAAATTTTAATGGTTTTTCGGGACAATTTGTGGATAAATTTCTTATACAAAAGATTCAAAGAATGATGACAAAATAATTGTTGGGGGGAGGGGGGAGGTTAAATTCGTGGTTATGGATGATCCACTGAATGTCCCGGAAGAACAATGAGATTCCACTCAGTATCTTAACATTTCCTTAATAACAGAGGTTTTAAATCTGCATGAAAAAAAATCAAAAAGAGTACCAAAGAGTAGATGTTTCTATGTATCAGAGGGCATGGCATATATGTAAATACAATGGATTTTTTGTTTTTAGTAACAACTTGAAATATATATTATATCATTGTTACTTTGTGAAAAGCTGTTCAAATTTGTGTAATTTTTTCTTATCATGTAGTAGAAGATTGCATGAAAAAATAATTATGGTCTATGCACCCTTTACTTAAAAAAAAGAATTTTTTAACCCATGTATACTTAAGTTTACTGGGCTGCTTAGCTACAAATGTGATAAATATTTGTTGTAAAAATTTTTGGGTTCATCATATGTACATGATAACAACCTCGACTGTCTTTCTTTTTGAAGGGCTATTAAAGTTTATTTACATCTTTACCATTGTTTGGGAATGAAATTATGTTTTGTTTATTTGTCAGTATTTTCATTCATATTTTTAAGTATGTTTTTTTTTTACATTTAGATTTTTATGAACCTTTTAGCTTAATAATATATTTTGGTACATCCTGCCAAAAAAAAATATGTTACCCTATTTGCAAAATAACGTTTGAACTTATATCTAGTTTTATTATATGTATTGTGATATCTTTTATGATGATCAATATGAGAGATAATGGCAGCGATGATTTGTAAAACTAATTGATATTATTTCCATTGCTCCACGACTGAACAACTCGGTAATTGTTCAGTGGGGCTATCTCAGAGTTTTGAAATTTATTAAAGATAATGAATTTCATCTGTATTCAGTAAAATGTCTGAAAGAATATTCATCAGTAACAGGTCCTAATGAATATTCATCAGTAAAAGGTCCAGAGATAATCTCCCTTTCTGCCGATATGATTGCCTTAATATGCATGTGATATTTGACTTATATTGTCCCTGTGATAGTCTTGCATAACAGTCTGCCCTCATCATATGATAACTTCATTCGCACAATGTCATGAACACAGATTTTTATAAGAATCACTATGAATTGAGTGCTTTTGTTTTTTGAGGTTGTAAAAATCTTATTTTTATTCATAATGTCATGAATCTATCTTTATTATTATGCAATAAGAGTGTCTGTGAACTTGTTGGCACATATTGTGGGACTTTGCTGTTCTGAGATTTTTCAGAATAAATTAGGAGGGAAGCAGGTGCATCCGGTGAGAAACAGATTTTAAAAGAGTTCTGAAACTCAAATGGAAGATTGGGATTTTCTGGACCTGAATTGTGTCTCTGTTCCAGAATTTTGATTAGTGAGATATCTGTGAAGTTGTTTATTTGGGATGGATATCTTTGATGTGCCATCAACCTGGGTAGAAAGAAATTTGTTTTTCTGCAAAAAAAATGGCTTGGAACAAGGCCTAGTTCACAGTCATTGTTCATGAGATGAGCATAGTAGATCTCTCATTGCCCAGTGTTCAGAGTCAAGCTATTGTCATTTTATTGCCCATTTTTTCTGTCGCTAATGAAAGGGTTCCTGGAAAGAAGGGCCTTGTCTTTTAGGGTGACAAAATCTGTAATCTGTGAATATACTTCCATGTTGTGTCTGTTGAACTGTTTTTGTCAAATTTTATTTTGGTACACACATTTTGATAAATACCATGTTCTTTGGACATCTTTTTTGTACAGGTATAAGGCAGAGCCATGAACATACATTCCAATGTCCTTATCATTTTTATGCTGGAAATTCACGCCTAAAATTACATTTTTTTCTCAGGCTTGTTTTGAAGAAAGAAAAGTTTTTTTGTCAGGCCAGCCTAAGAGTATTAAATCATTGTATCAAAGTTATTTTTTTCCTATATTCAAAATGGTAGTCAAGGGAAAAACTGATGATTTATGATTTTTATATATTAAAATGTGTGCAGATTTTTTTTTAATTGTTTGCACATTTGTATATAATAAACATGCAATTTAAAGTGCTACAAGTATAAAAATAATTTATACTGTTATTTTTTTCAGAAAATTTAACGAAATACAAGAAAGACTTCACTTTTGAGTTAAGCTTTCCTATAGAGCCTATTGATTATATAGTTGTTTAGCATATTCTTTACTTATACAACTTCTTTCAATTTAAGAAATATAATACTATATGTATAGTGAATCTTTATATAGAATATAAATGTAAGTGTACATATGAAGATCTCAAGAAGCAAAACAAAAGTGTAACAGAGGTTTTATATTATGTATCTGGTGAGAATGAATTTGAATTCACTGAATGACCTCAAGGAAAGGTCATGAACATTTGTAGATAAAAATATATGAAAAAAAAATCAATAAAAATTGTATAAAATGATATATGTTCTTCATTTTGTTTCTGTTGAATTGTGTCTTAGGAGATAAAAGTTCAGGTAGGCATGACTGTTAAGAAAATATGAAGTGTAGGAGTGTCAATAGTAATATTGAGATAGCGGTATCAGTGGCATTTGAGCTCAGACACCCCCTCCACTCGTACAATTTTTTTAGCTCATTTGAGCAGGAAGCTAATGCTTTCTGATCACCCACTGTGTCTTGCTGTCTGTAAACTTTTCATATTTTCAACTTCTCAAGAACAGGTTGGCTTATTTTAATCTAAAAAGGCACAAAGCATACTTGGACGAAGGGAATTCTAAATTGTTCAAATGAAGGACCAAGTCCTATTCCAAGAGGACAAAATCAAGAAAAGGCAAAAAAAAAAAAGGTGGGGTCATTGAAAAATTTTCTCAAGAACCACTGCTCCAGAAGAGAAGAAAGTTATGTGAAAGCTTTCTCCGTGTAGATCTGTTTCTGTAGCTAGTCCTTCTGAATTCCCCATACTGTTCTCTTACTGTTTCTCCCCATTGACGGATCTCTCTGTACTACTGATCCCTTTCTTTAGGGTTTCTTACGATCGATCCCTTTCGATAAAGCGTTTCTTCAGACTGATCCCTTTCTATAGCGTTTCTTCAGACTGATCCCTTTCTAATTAGCATTTCTAGTTGCGGAGTAAGGAGTTGATCCTTACGTCGCGGGTTCGAATCCCACTGTGGGACGTGAAGACCGGTCCTTCGGATGAGACCGTTTAAACCGAGGTCCCGTGTCGCAGTAGGTGCTGGCACGAAAAAGATCCCTCACTGCTCAAAGGCCTTAAGTGCCGAGTATAGGTCAAAATTTGCAACTCTCCATCGGCAAGTGGTGGCGTCTCCATATGAGTGAAAAATTCTCGAGAGGGACGTTAAATAACAAACAAACAAACAATTAGCATTTCTTCAGACTGATCCCTTTCTATAGCGTTTCTCCAGACTGATCTCTGCTGTAGCATTTCTTCAAACTCTTATTTATGTAGCGTTTCTCCAGAGGGCTTTCTGTAGTGTATTTCTAGACCGATCTATTTCCGTATCGTTTCTCCAGACCGATATATTTCCGTACTGTTTCTTCAGACGATCAATTTCCGGAACCATTTCTCTAGATGGTCCTTTTTCTGTTGCTAATTCTATTCCGTATCTCTCTATTCTGTCTGATTTTTCTTCTGTAATCCTCTCTCCGGCTTGATTTCTCTTTTAGTTGATCTTCCTCCGAATCACTCTTTTTATAAGATCTTTCTGTGACACTTTTCCCAGATTCATTTCATATTGCTTTGCTTTTGCTGGACAAATTCTTTGTTTCGTTTGCAAGATTAATCTTTATCTGCAGCGTTTTCTCCAGAGTGATTTTTCTCTATAGCTCTTTTCCAACCCTTTTCCTTGTCCCCTTCCTTTAAATTGATTCTTCTTTGGGAACCCTATTTTAGCTCACCTGAGCCAAAGGCTTAAGTGAGCTTTTATGATCAGAATTTGTCGACGTTGGCGTTGTTGTCGTTACTGTTAACTACAAATTTTTATCTTCTTCAGAACCACCGGGCCAATTTCAGTCAAACTTGGCAAGGGTATATCCTTGAGTAAAGGGGATTCAAGTTAGTATAAATGAAGGACCGCACCCTTTTCCAAGGGGAGATAATTAAGAAATGGTAAAAATTGGGTGGGGCCAGTTAGAATCTTCTTCTCAAGAACAACTGGGCCAGAAAAGGTGAAAATTTTATGAAAGCTTTCTGACAAAGTGTATATTCAAGGTGTTCATTTCATTTCCCCGGGGATTTTGGTGGGGCCATAATGGGTGATCAAAGTTTTATATAGGAATAAATAGGAAAACCCTTTTAAAATCTTCTTCTCAAGAACAGCAAAGCCATGATCAGTTATTTTTATTTGAAAGCATTGACAGGTATTGTATATTCAAGTTTGTTCAAATCATGACCCCTTGCGGTAAGGTGGGGCCACAATGGGCGTTCAAAGTTTTACCTAGGGATATATAGGAAAAACTTTAAAAATCATTTTCTCAAGAACAACAAAGCCATGATTAGTCATATTTACATGGAAGCATCCGCAGGTAGTGTAAATTCAATTTTGTTCAAATCAAGACCCCTGGGGCAAGGATGAGGCCACAATGGTTTTACCCAGCAATATAGCAAATATAGAATATCACACTGCTGTTTTGATCTCGGCCCCGGTGTCAGCCCGAGCGGCTGGTATCGACCCAAGCCCGGAGAGAGCGGGCCGAGACCATCCGAGGGCTGATACCAGGGACGAGATCAAAACAGTGGTGTGATGTTGTTTATAAAACCAAAGATATTAAGACTTTTTCCCAACAATGTTGTATTAAATTAAAATGAGTTATCGTTCTTTATTTTCGATGTTCATCGATCTTGAGATAGGTAAAGATGTTGCTTGACAAAGGTAAAGTGCCTGATTGCCTGATTTGGTCATTAAAATTAATAGATGAGTCTTGGTGTTTTAAAACATGTAACAATCAACGGCACATTTAATTTCTAAGATTTAAAGGTCCCAAACTTCTGATAACTCTACTTTCACTTTGGATAACCGGGTTACATGTTCAACAAATCGTTACAGGTCTGAGATTTAAAGTAACTGTTTGTTTTGCTTACGATATGTATTAAAATAAATAATGACACAAAAAGAGAAAACTTGATATTGTCTTACTGTCAAAGCAATTTAACGCCCATTTCTGTTCAAAACATACAACTCTCAGTAAACAAGTTACCTCTCGTACGTCACAACTACCATCATTTGGCGCACTTTTTAAAAACAATTTTCTCAATATTCTAGCATAAATAGATAATTCTTATATATTCAGGACTAGTTTTAGTATACAAAATATTTATCTTTAACACTTTAATATAAATTTTACTCTTAATTCACACAAATAAAACAGAAATAATGGATTGAAATTTGAGGGCGAGACAGCCCCTTGACAACGGGCTGAGACAGAGATATCTCAGCCCTGGGGCTGAGACAGCCCTAGTTCCAAGAGGCTGTCTCACCTAGTCCGAAACGCCTGTATCAGGACTGATACACTACTAGGTATATGATATTATATAGGAAATATCTTCTTAAAATCTTGTTAAGAACAGCAAAGCCATGATCATTCTTATTTATATGGAAGCATCCTCAGGTAGTGTAGATTTATGTTTATCAAATCATAATCCCCGGGGGTATAGTTGGGCCACAATGGGCGATCAAAGTTGTACCTAGGAATATATAGGATCAATCTATGATTAAAAATCTTTTTCCCCAAGAACAGCAAAGCCAGGATTTGTCATATTTATATGGAAGCATCCTCAGGTACATGTGGTGTACAGATTCAAGTCTTTTTCAATGACCCCCGAGGGATAGGGAGGGACCACAATGTGTAAACTTTTTTTGTAAAGTTTTACCTAGGAATATATATGGAAAAATTACTGATGGAGAATAAAGGGCCATAGTGACTCAGATTGCGTTGTGGCCCATGGGTCTCCTGTTAGATTAGCCTTTCCTAAGTTTGCACAGTGTCTCTCTTATATTTTTCAGTGTTTTTTTTTTTTTAATACTTTTGTTTTTATTCATTTATTTTCTTTTTTTAAGTTTGTCTTTGCTGACTAAATGTGTAATGTATTTATGTTTTATGTACTTCATTTATAGGTTTTGGAAGCTGCTTATCGAAGTCAGGGATATGAAAAATTTTGTGTACAAGAACCTTCATTTTACATGTATTGCTACATGTATAAGTTTTGATTGTGAATATTAGTTAAAGTATGTCCAGAAGTATTGTGGAAAGAAAACAGGGAAAATTTGTACCTACCCGCTCACTATGTGGAAAAAAAAAACAGTCAAACTTTGTTATCTCAAACCCGATGGGACCCAGAAAAAAAACTTCGAGAAATTGAGGTTAAATACATTAAAAAGCGGTTGGGACTTTTAACTGACTTCGAAATATCCATGTATTCTAGATATCGAAGTTCGAGATAACGGACTTTAACTGTAATTGACAACGAATATTTTTGCACGGCTTTGGCCCAGAATTGGTTGCCATGCATCATGTTTTGATGATAAAAAGACATGAATATGAAATGAAAATATAAATAAAAACCTCCAAAACGTGCTATGTTAAATGCACGTGCTTAGTTTTGATTGAAAAAAAAATCTTCTTTGAACATGTAGCTTCTTGAAAGTTGAAAGAATCTGTCAATATACCCCCCCCCCCCCCCGTTTAATCTATGGTATTCAATTTGATTCAAGTACAGCAATTCGATCAAGCTGGAAATTATAAAGAAGCCTGTTTTAAACTCTAAGTGTACTTGTGAACACAATGTGCGCATTCTCTAGCTGGCCGGACGTCACGTCCAAGAAAATCAAATGCAAAGCTGTAGGTTTAAAAAAAGGATTTCATATTACAAACAATAACTGCGAAGTATATGTAAATAAAAATTTTTAAACGATCGATGATTGCACATTCTTTTTAATGTGGGTTTTTTTCTGATATAAGAATTTTAATTTTGTTCATGGTAATTATGAGGGGAATATCTTATTCTTCAATAGCTTCATTTGCTTCTAAGATTTTGTGTTAAAAATCTTTTTTGAGAAAATTGCTCATCTTCTCTTACGGTTCTCGTGGCTGTATGAAAATGCTGTTTTCTGATTGTTCAGTCAAAATATTTACTCGTTCTTGACTTCCACACAGGGAAATCGTCTCGATCTGTAAAAACTTTGAATATTAAAAGGTTATGTGTGGGGGAGATATTATATTGTCTTTTGAAACAAAATATACTTAATATTAATCTTGTCATTATGAATCTATGAGTTAAATTACTAAATAACTCTGAAGTCAATAAATAGACAAGTATGTACGTATTCAACAAATACTTCCTAGCTATGAGATTCTTAACCCTTCCCCATCCCCCACCATTTCTTTGAAAGGAGGTACAAGTATAGGCATCTGCCTGGTTATTTTAATTCATCTTAATATGAGAATTTTAAAGTAGTACATTAAATACGCTGGAAACGTCTACATTAATACCCATCAGCTAATTTTGTTCATAATGTAAATAATATGGAATGCATCATGGTTAAATATATAATACTAGTAGATCAGACTTTTGTTTTATTAAACTTCCCTTAGGGTACCCCTCGCTTAAATGCACATGTCAGCAAATTTTGACAGCCAATGACCGTATGCCGCGACAAGTGGGTAAGTATAAAAGGGCTGTGCGCGGGTGAGTGCGTGGAATTCGAGACGACGGTGCCGGAAAAGAAGTTTGAAATGCAGTCCTTGATAGTCTTCGTTGTATTACTTGCTGTTTTCCATGGTGAGATTTATAAATAATTTTTGCTTAAAATTATTATCATTAAAAGTATTGAATTTTTAAGTTGTGAAGGAAAACTTATTCGAACACTCATGTAGTTGTAATATGGTCACGTGTGCTTTTGTCAAATTTTATATTTTAGGAAAGCATTTTTTGTAATGGTAGGATATTTCTTTCATTATCAGGCTCGCTTTCAACACAAAGTAAGTCTGATGAGCTACGCGGTATTGTCAGACAATTAGAGGGACTGGTAGCCAGGGAATGGAAAGGAAAACCACGCCCAACAAGTATCCCATCTGAACCACGTGGGCCCACTGACAAAGGCAGTGATCCGTCTTCCAGAAAATATGACAGGATGATCAAAATGTTTTTTAAACTTCTAAAACCATACTTTGGTACCTTTCCAAGCGGAAATTACACTTGTAAGTAAATAGGAAAATTAATGTTATTTTTCAATGTTTTTGAACAGCATTTATTTATGTAAAGTTTTATTTTAGCGGATATGCCAGTTGACAAAATCGTGGAAATGATGAATGAATGGTACAAGAACATGCCCTCAAAAACATCCGATCCAAAGGCATTCAGAAAATGGGCTTTCTTCAACATGGCTAGAGTTCTCTTGCGCGCCCATTTCCAATGCGCAACGGCAAAGATCAATCAAATAATATTTTGTAAGTGTTCCTTTAATAATGTTTTTATCAGGATTACAATCCGTTTTTCCTTAAATTCATGGCTAAAATTTTAGATTTCCAAAATCTAAAACTAATCGATGACTTGAAAGAAAAATGCATGTGTATATAAAGTACATGTATGTTTTTATCTTTACTTTCATTTACTTCCATCAATGCAGACGTATTGAAGGCCCAAGAGCGTGCAATGACTGCGAACGACAAGAGCATGTACGAAAGTATAAGAACTATTCTGGAAAACTGGATAAATGGTACAGAAATGCTGGACAGAGCCACCAGGAGGATTGTGGGAGCAGCACATAGGCATGTTTTTGGAGAAATTATGAGTCACATCAAATATTTCCAGTTTAAAGGTATGGCACTCTAAAGGGAAAGTATGTAATGAGTAAAAATTAAGGTTTCCATGAAGAATTGCCCTAGTTTTACTCTGTGGATTTTGATAAATGAATGATTATTTCAATCTAAATGAACATGATGTAGTGTATTCAAAATGTTGCGCAAATGTACAACATGCGGGATAGGTGTTAATTAGTGTAATATAATAATTATTTTGGCTTTTTTGGCAATGTTTCAGATACCATAGATTTTTTCCAAAAAGTGAAACCCTTCATCAAAAGAGCTATAAGGGAGAAGTGGACCGTTTTCAAGTTTGATGAAAAATTGAGAGAGCTGTTGTCTAATTTCGATTTTGGATGTCCGGGCCTGGACGACTTTTTGGAATTCCATCGCAAACTCGCTGTCTCTTTCAAACAAAGGTAAACTGGACAGAACATTAAGTTTCCTTAAAGGTTAAATTTAATATACTATTTGGGGGGGGGGGGGGGGGGTTATTCTTTTTTGGATTCAAACGACTGTTCAAAAGCAGTTGAAGTATAAATACCAAATTTTGTATCGCTACTCTGATTTCATACAAAATTAGATTGCCTTGTATTGGGAATGACCTTGCTTGATTAAAACATTTGTTTTATACACAATCAGGTTCTCGGAGGACACGCATTTCAAAGAGGCTGAGAGATGGCTAACAGCCAACCTTCCAAGGTACATAAATACAGACCCTGCCCCTGTACTTCCGGATATCCTCCAAGTCTACACCGGATATGTTAATGCGGCTGTCCGGAATTTTGAGCAGGTGGAGGTCCATATGACTACCGGAAACACGGACGACATCGCAAACTTCATGTCTACTTTCCTTAGTAAGTGTATATACATCAGTTGTACATTGTAAACGTGTTCGAAAATGTCTTTTAATTAAAGTACCACTTAAATTTTATTTTATAAGAAGATTCAGAGTTTATCAGTCAGAATTATTACAGTACAGTACACAGTACAACTTAGAAGGACCGGGGGGACCAGCATTGCTAACTTATGGTCATTTATATAGTGCTTCTGCATAGTTAACCGGCAAACGCTTCAAAATGAATTCAGTGAAATATTTGGCTATTAAGTTTAGAATATTTTCTCATTTTTTGTTACAAAATTATTTCTACATTCTATTCTTCATATTTTGTTTGAATTAGAGTTTAATCAAACAAAAAATTGACACATTGTAAGAAAAATTGACCCATCCAAAATTTAAGTGAAGAATTCTAATGGTTGGAAATGGTCAACTATACTTACATTTCTATTACACTGTATTACATGTTCATCGTGATATGCATTATAGTTGAAAGCATGTTATATAATGTTTTCATTTTATATACCAAAATATGAACGCTCGCGTTTATAATTGCAGCACCAGATCAACTTGAATATCTTAAGGCCATCTTTGAATTCCTGAAAGCTACGGGTACTGACAGTGGAGACACGGACTCTTCAAACAACATGGACGTCTCGTCTTATTCAGTGGATGAAGATTAATTAACTTAATACAATGGACAATAAACTTTTTTGGGCGTGACTGGTGAACTGGTGACTATTCACCCTGTGAAAATGGAACTGTTTCGTCCCAGTGTGTGGACTAGTGAGAAGCTTTGGCTTTTGTTCTGTTTATGTATCTGTTTAAACAATAAAACTTGAATGAAATTTCGTTAGTGAACTGAACTGAATTTATTGATCTCTTCACAATTTTACAATTGTATAGCGAGATATGTTGTTAGTTGTGATACATGTAAATAGAGGGAGAACATTGAACAAAACAATTCACTCGATCTACAACTTGTTTGAAACCAATGCTCAATGTATAAAAAGTTGCTGATTTATTAAAGATTTGCTATGATTACGGTAGATACACGTATGTCCTAATTCCAAGATTTAGAAGGAATTTAAGGAAGGTTGAATTCACAGGCACTTAACGTTATATATATATATATATATATATATATATATATATATATATATATATATATATATATATATATATATAAAATTTAATTTTGTTTGTATTCTAGCCTCTGATTGGTTAATATCCAAAAAGGAACACAAATTATTTCTGTATAACCTGGTTTGGTATGGGGACACCCCCCCCCCCCCCCCCTGACAACCAGCTGAATCATCTATATGCATACAATCCTCTCATTTCCAGTCCTCGGGATTCATGGAAACTTCCAGATTTAATAAATATACCTTTAACTTCAAACAATAATTCGATCTTACCACATGTATAAGAGAGGGATTTAATTTTTGAAGATTCAAGTGGTACATGAACTACAACGCTTCACGCCGGCATATTTATCATGAAGCGCTAACGCGCTTCATGAAATATGCCGGCGTGAAGCGTCGTAGTTCATGTCCTCATGAATCTTCAAAAATTAAATTCATTTCTTAAATAAACAAGCTGCTAGGCCTATGTATCAGTTTTTACCTCCCCTCGCTTCCCATCACTTCCGTTACTTCCGTTACTACGGTTGTATTATTGAGCGGCAAATTTGAACTAATTAAAAGCAACGAAATTTTACACCCATATTTATTTGATGATTTTAAAATTAAACTATAAGGAATGACTCTAATTCTTGGCCAAATTATTCGAGTATAAACTTCGCGGATTATGAAACGGCGTAAACTGACCCAAACCAGGTTATACTCGAATAATTTGGCCAAGAATTAGAGTCATTCCTAATATAAATATATATATATATATATATATATATATATATATATATATATATATATATATATATATATATATAACCACATACCTAATCACGTGAATTACCGTATTAGGTATGGGGTTATATTTTTTATAAGAAAAATATGTAACGTCAAGTGCCTGTGGTTGAATTCAAGTTCAGAATAAAAAATCACTTGACTATTTAGATTTATTGCCAAAGTTCAGGTCAATTTTTTTCTCGTAGATTAATGAAAAAACGAATTTGTTTTATCAATTTGTGCAAAATGTTTCAAATGAAGAGTGGAAATGTAAAATATTAGGTCATTAATAAATAGCATTGCAATGCACGTACGTACCTCAAATTGGGTTTGTAGAAAGCCCCGGAAAGCTCGATCGCAGGTTTTATAGGGCAGTCTTTTTTTTTTTTTTTTTTTTTTTTTTACTTATTTAAGCTATACTTTACGCATAATTAATGCAATATCTCACAACACAAAAATGATTTATTAATCATGTATATTTTGGTCACAAAAAGGGGTGGGGGTTGGGTCCCTCTAAATCTGCCATTGGGGATTGTTCTTTATAGATATGAAGTTAAGATTTATGTTTTCCTGCAAAACTCCTGAACAATTAATTTATGGTTAAATAAATGTATTTACGGTTCAGTTGGGTATTGAACCCAAGCGATAAAAATCTGATCAGCGGGGACTAAGTGTATCTATGTGCTAGGCTTTACGAAGCAATGACGGTGTTGTTACAGTTGAGTTTTTATGGAGTTTATGGGACTTTTTTGTGATGCATATTTTGATAAATGGAATACAGGGTGTAAATCACTTGGCATGTGCACATCTTCGAACCGGTGCAGTGGTCTTATTTTCAGGTATAGATAAGTTTACAGTGTTCGACGCGTTTTCTCGACATGCATCAATTGCATGATATGGACATGCACAGCAAAGAAGCTGGTTGTTTGTTCCATTCTAATGATATAAAATTTCAAATTGTGTTTACGAGCTTTAAGGCTTATTATTATAGTTTATTGTACATATATTGGTGAACTTTAAAAATACACCTGCGACTATGTTTTTCTTCCAAACTTGCATTTTTTTTTTTACATTTGTGATTCAAAAAATAATTGTTTATAAATATCATTATGGCTGTTTATATCTGGTATGGTTTTGAAACGTTTTGATCAATATTCATGTGTTCCCAAATACTTTATTATCGGAGATTCGCACAAGTCGACAACCAAACTAAAAATTCAAGTGTAACGAACGCATTGGGGTATATATCGTTACAATAAGAAAAGGCATCTGAAAGAAAAATGGCGGAATACAGCTAGTTTGTTTGAAACAAGTCGTATAGAGATTAAAATGTTGCGTTTTTAAGAATTCATGTCAGCTGTAAACATTAGATATCCATTCATTTAAACAATACAATCTCTAACCAGAGGGCGCGTTACGCAAGGCTTTACTTAAACATCTGCATCACATTTAGCAGGTTGGGACCAATCGCCCAAATTGAATATAATAGCCCGTTTGGGATATAATATCCCAAATAGGATATAAATTTACAATGCAAAAAAATGAAAATTTTTACTTTGGCTATAAATATCATAAATCTGCATCAAGATACTTATAAAGAAATAACTTTTGGTTAACAATTTTTTTTCTGTATGCCCAATGTTTAGGAGATTGATCCCTCGGAAGTTTCTAAACTTCTTGGGTATCAATCTAACAAACTGCAAGAATGAAGAAAACGTTGCTTGCCAAAAGTGTCGTAAGTTCTATTGTAAAGGGCCCTGAGTAGAATAATGAAATTAAGACTGACGTGTTAACCATTATTTTTAAGTACAGTGGGTCCTTAACACGTATTTTTTAGCCCCCCCCCCTGCATTTTTTATTGTTTTTTTTTTTTCCCGAATACTTTGAAGATATAATTTAAAAAAAAAATGAAGTCATATGCAAAAAGTATGCTAAAGTATGGAGAAATCGTCATTTTTGCCCTCTTTGATGTGTACATACTACATGTGTATTTCATAGGCGAATATAATTTCAGTACTGTCGCAAAATATGGAAATGATGTTTTGAAACACGGGGATTTTTTCAGTAACTGCCCATATTCTTTGATTCCATAAAAAATTCAAATGTGTGCCTTTTTACAAGGAGCGTGCATTAACTATTTACAATCTTTCTTGAATCATATTAAGAAATGCACTGTATATTTTTAATGCCTTCTTTGTACTTCAATTAAAGTCTCATGGTATCGTGAACAAATAAATACATTTACACTTTTAGTCACGGTTGATCAAGGTGGAATTCTGAGAAATTCATTTAATAAAATCAATAAAAAGATACTACACTTTAAAAGGCAGTTTTTATTTATGTTTCAATTAACTCTCTCATAGCTGTCAAGCCGGAAGATGTACACCATGCTTCGAATTTAAACCATGTCCACAGTGGCAGTGTTCAGAAGTTCAAGTCAAGTACATGTAAGTCACATAGGTCTCGACAGGAGGAAATGTTTTATGATTTCTAATGTTTATTCTTAGCAAGTCTACAGCTGCTGGAGAGCTACAGTTGTACCCCTACATGTATGTCTTAGAGTAGCCTGCTGTTCGTGACAAGACCTGTGTCAGTCTGAAAGAGCAAAACCTTACAACAGAACATGCAAAACCAACTATTATACATGTACATTTACTGAATGAGTTCGAATGCAAAATGCGTTTTTAAATTTTATCGGACTGGACTCAAGAACCAAACTTTTAGGCTGAAGACAAAGAGTTTGGTTCAAGGGGTCGGAGGGGTGCTCCACAAAAGAAATCCACAAAAAGTCAACATTCAACATTTTTTTTACATTCTGAAGTCCGTATACCAATATTTAGAAATACTCAACATTTCAGCCATAATGCATTCTTAAACCCTGCACGCCAAGTTTCTTAAAAAGCTCAAATTTCAGGCATATTAAATAAACCATTATACGTCACAGACTCCAGCTGTCTAGCTCTGAGTGCCTGTCTTAGAACCAGTATAACACTTTATCCATCGAGAGACTTTCAGTCATGACAGACACTACTAACAAAGTGCTTTTTGTCTTTGCTGTTTCCATCGGCTTTAGTAATTCTTATTTTTATCATGAGCAATATACAAAATGGACCTTTTCGTATGACGCGTTGAAAACTGATTTTTTTCTGATGGAGAATTTTGTAAGGAGAGCGTCACAATGTGCAACTAAATGTTCACAAAAGCGGAAAGAGTGTCTCTCTTTTGCTTGGAATGAACAAACCCTGCAATGTTTGCTGTACAATCGGAGTTTCAAAAGCATCCAACCTTCTGCTCAAACATATGGAAATTGGATATATTTTAACATCAGAGGTTTGTATGAGATATCAATTTACTGTTTATCTATTTACTTTCTTCAATCGATCATTATTTAATTCAGGAAAAAAATTTCTGTGAAATCCGCGTCATGTGATGAAAAACTGCGAAAACAACAAAAATAAATAAATAAATATGTTGCGTATAAATGTTTCAAGTAAGGGAACTTTAGAAAACTATTTCGAAACAAAAATTATCACGATTATCAAACAAACCAACAAAAAAAAAACAATAAAAAACAAACAAAACAAACAAAAAAAACGAACAAACAAAAAACAACACACAAACACACCCCCCCCCCCCCAAAAAAAAAAAAAAAAAAAACAACCAAACAAACAAAAGAAAAAAAAACAAGAAAAAAATTATTTTAAAAAATCTTACATAAATTTTTGTTGATAAATAAAAATAAAAAATAAAAACATATTGGTTATAGAATAAATTTTTGGACTTTATCTGATTAAACTAATGACATTTTTTAAGACCTTTAAAATATGATGGGTTTTTTTTGTTTGTTTTATTATATGTTCATGTAAAATAATAAGAAACAATAAAACACCAAAACATATTGTTTGCCCTTCACATGTGATATAATATAGGAACAAGTAACTGAGATAAACAACGTTATAAAATTAGATGCAAAAAACAGTCCAATCGTCTATTTAGCAAAGAGTTATTCGATACTCAAATCAGAAAACGAAAAACAAAATTATATATACAAATAAGTACATGTATATATACCGCATTTCTTAAATCATAGCAATTGATCTCTTTAATTTAGTCATTTACATCTAAACTGAAAATAATGCATGCTCAAAAGTTACCGTACACTACTGTAAGCTTTCATTATTACAGCTAACGATCGAAATTGATATATCAAAAGTTTTTATTTGACTTCAGAATGTTCCGGAGAACTGGAAAATGGTATGGTTAACGTGCCTGCAGATAAAATGTTCACCCCCGGAGTATCCTTAACAGGCAGTTGTAATGAGGGCTATGTTTCAGTATCTGGACAAATTAATGCAACGTGCAACCCTGATTTTCAAACAGTTGTTTCCGACACATGCTGTAAAGGTAGCATTAATTTACATATACTGTAGAATAGCAACTTTTAGCGACACCTTATTTTCGTGAGAAAGTAATTAAGAATATATAATTCAGGGGGGAAAACTTGTTTATTATGATCGTAAATAACCTTTGATAATACAAATAATTTTGGAGAGCAGACTGTCTTGCGTTATTACGCCAAAATAAAATTCTCGCAAATGAAAAGTTACTTACAGTATTCATATACTTGTCAGTCTGTCACAAAAAAACTTTAACCTCGGTCATTACTTTTGAATGAGAAAAGCTAGGGCTTTCATATTTCACATATACATTACCTGTGACAAGACCTTTCGAAATATACTATCATAGTGACTTTTGACCTCGTGACCTTGACCTCAAAGTTTGACCCACTTATCCAATATTTTAACATAACTCTACCCTCTGTCCTAACTTTTGAATGAAAAAAAGATAGGGCTTTCATATTTCACGTGTACATTACCTGTGACAAGACATTTCATATAATGCTATAATTTTTGACCCCATGACCTTGACCTTGATGTTTGACCTAATTTTCAAACTTTAACCTTGTTCATTGCTTTGAAATGAGAAGAGATATGGCTTTCATACCTCATATGTACATTGCCAGTGACAAGATGTTTCCAAATGTACTCTAATTTTTAATCCATGACCTTGAAGGTTGACTTAATTTACAAAAAATTAACATTGAATGTAGCTTTTGAATGATAAATGATAGGGCATTCATATTTGACGTGTGCATTACCTTTGACAAGATGTTTCCGAATGTGCAATGATTATTGATCCTGTGACCTTGACATTGGAGTTTGACCTAATATTAAAAAATTTGAACATTGGTGATAACTTTTGAATGAGAAAATATAGAGTGTTCACATTTGACAACATGAGTCATTTCCGAATGTGCTATGATATTTAACCCAGTGACCTTGATCTTCACGTTTGACTGAACTTTCTAAAAAATTAACATTGATTATAACTTTTAAATGAGAAAAGATAATGCATTCGTATTTGAAATGTCCATTACCTGTGACAAGACGTTTGTTCCGAACATGCTATGATATTTGACCCCCCTGACCTTGACCTTCAAGTTTGACCTAATTTTCAAAAATATTTTATCATTGCTGATAACTTTTGACAGAGAGAAGATGGAACTTTTATAATTGACATGTGCATTACCTGTGCCAAGACGTTTCCAAATCAATGTACATGTACTATGATTTTTAACCCCTTGACCTTGATCTTGAAGTTTGACCTAAATTTCAAAAACTTTAATATTACTGATCTAACTTTTGCATGAGAGAAGATAAGGAATTTATATTTGACATGTGCATTACAATGTGCCATAACTGCCATAAATGATTGCTTCCCAACCACTAAGACACCGAAAGCGGGGGACCACAATTCTTTGAATTTGTTTGTTCTTTTAGTTCTTCAAAATATCACAGTTGGCAAGCCTACAGAACAATCATCAACCTTTTGGGGGTTCGAATCTGGTTTAGCAGTGGATGGAAATAGAAACACTGATATTGACGCTAACTCTTGTACGACAACAGCTTCTGATGACGCCAACCCATGGTGGAGGGTTGACCTTTTGAATGTTTACTACATTGTTAGTGTTAGAATGCTGAACCGGGGAATGGATCAATATGGAATTGGTACGTACACGAATAAAAAGAGTACTAACTTGCTATATTTTAACTTAAATCCCAATCGTTATTCATATCATTCAATGAAAGCAAAATCAAACCTTTAAGGTCTGACGATACGTTGCTCGAATAACTGTTTTGTATCTCTTCCTAATGTACAACAAATTAATCACAATAGTAATTGTCTTGAGATTTTTAACTGTTTTCAAAATTTCTAAGTAGATAAAGACTCCAAAATATTGTGATATTGGCAATGCCGGTTTTTTCTAATAGGATTATATAGTAAATAGCATCCTCTGGTATCTTGCACAAATGTTTGGTAAGGTACCTTAATTTTTTGTGAGAAAACTTGAGAAAGTAACAATACTTCAATGACAAAATTTTAATTCTTGGAAAAAATTATATATTATGAGGAACACGTCGTCTGACCTTAATTTACCTTGCCGTATTAAAACACTATCATGTATGAGATTTTAAAAAAGTGATTTTGAAGATGAACGAACAAGACTGACAGGTAGCTTTTCGTAGTAGTACAGTATGACACAAAATTGCTTCCATTCTGGTCAAATGGAGAACTTTTCCGCTAAAAGGGCTAAACGCATAGAGGTAATTTTCTGGTCCTGCAATTTCCTACAAAGTAGTCATAAGTCTTGACAGGACCTTGGACCTCCTGCCCGAAAGCAGGTGGGTTTATTACTTTTTTAAATTTTATTTTTTTTTTTTTAGACAAAAATGTAAATCACTTCTGGGTAAAAAGCAGCACAAAGCTAGTCCCCAAACAGTGTGCGATAAAATGCTACTCCTCCTAGAGTTTTGGTCTGATTTCAGTATAACTTGGCACACAGGTAGACATACTGCAATTAGATCAGTCATTCTACAAAAACATGACCAAGTAAGAATTTTTTATGTCGCTTACAAATTTACTGTTGTAATTTTAAAGGTCGATTTCAACTCTAAGACTTAACATACACACATGGTTTTGTAAATTCACCGATATATATGCAGTTAAAGTTTTGATATGAACATAATGTAATGTTGAAAAACGTATTCCACTGCAAATCTTAATGTCGTTTCGTTTATTTGCAACTTTCAAGATGAAATTTTCTGACCTAAAATCGTTCCGAATAGATTGCAATGAATGTTAAAAAATGTCTTTTATCCTATATAAAAAGTAATCAAACCACTTCTCGCAAAGAAATGCATGGATCTCCTTTCATGTGAAATCATAAGCATGTCGCTTAAAATCGATTAACTTCCGTAACGATTTTGTTTTAAATTTCACGCATAGAATGCAGATTTAAAAAAGAACTGAAACTTATCTGAAATTGACCACGGAGCCTTATATCATCGATTCTAGTTGCAAGTCAACTATTTTAGACGATTACATTTTCGACATAACAAAATGAAATACTAGTAGACAAAAACAGTTGTCTCTCTTAAAAATTTATCTTCCGTAACGGTAAAACAGGAAAGTTTTTGCATTAAAGGTATATATTTTTTTTTATTATTTTGGGAGCGAAATGCTTCATACTTTAGTTAATTATCCTAAAACAAACTTTGATTTTAACTATTGAAGAGAATTTTAACTTTTATTGCTGGGAATTTACTTCCGTAACGATATTTTCCCCGAAAATTTAGTTGAAATTCGGATTCGTGCAAGACTTCATGAATCATACTTTAGCGTTCTTTACTGAACATCAGAAACGAAAAAATTAGTCAAATTCAGCTTTATTTAAAAAAAATAATAAGGCTTGATCAAGCATCAACTTCTGCAACATTACCTTAAAATCAATGGTATCTTGAAATTGTTGTAAAAAGTTAACGATACCAGATTTGTGGGCAATTCTTTGTTTTCAAGTTCACTGTTATATCCTTAAGAGAATTGTGATATTCATTTTGAAACAATTATTTTTTTCATGTTTTATACTCTGAACTGGTCCATTTATCGTAGAATGACTGAGATACATAATTCTATATATACATTTGTGGTATCTCTCTATTATATAAACATGCAGAGAGCAAATATCTTCATACCTGTATGAAGTTTTTTGAAGGTTATAGGTCATTACGTGACCTAATCACACAGCGCAGTAATATCTACATAAAAAGACTTACTCCACTTAGCAATATTATATAGCATGTTTTTCATGCATAAAAAATGTACAAAATACGCAAGTAAAAAATAATCATTTTATTTACAATGTAACGAGTATTTAATACAGTTCTTGATCGATTTTATATAGAGAATAGAAAACTACGTGTTATAAGTTTCATGTCTGAGCTGCATATCTCAACGTTTATACCCTTATTTCTTATTTCTCGCAGACCTCTGAATGCTATAATTTTTTTCCATTAAACTTTACTCACAATAAATTTGAAAATCTGTTGAAAAATACCAATGTAATGCAATCACGCCACAAACAGCTGACAAACACTGCACTTTGGAAGTTCGGTAGGCACACCTCCATCATCGAGATCGTTGTGACGTTGTCTTTTAAACAATGTAAACTGTCGCCAGTGTCTCTATATCAACATCATAATTAATGAATATGCCTTACTGAAATCGTAGATTTTATGTTTTTGATCAAATTTTGTACTTGATTTCAAGTTATCTGGTCCAGACAAGTGTCTCCATCCATCCCTTTGCGACCGAAATTCCTCCAACTTTTTATTATCAAACATCGGAAGTGTTTCTTGTGTTTTTTAACATCGAATATGGGTTCTCATGAATTCAAAAATTCTTATTATGTCTACTTTAAAGTAGTCATAATGCAGATTTTTACTGATAAGTAGAAAAAATTTCAGAAAGACAATATCTATGTAGTCTTTGGAGTCCAGGTCTTCCAACAATGTGTTGGAATTTCGATGGGCACTTATTGTGCTCCTTTATTAGCCGACCTGTTTTTATACCGGTATTCCGATGAAGCAGAATTTATTTTTTTTTTAAAAAAAACTCTTTCATGGAAAGAAGAAAACTTCTGTCGTGGCCTTCAACTCAACATTTAGATATATCGACGACGTTTATTTAATTAACAATAGTTACTTTAAAGTTTCATTCATATGTCGACTCGATGTACCCCAGTGAAATCAAAATAAAAGTCACAGAGTCTGCCACATTCGTTTCATATTTGGATGTTTTACTGACTATAGACGTAAATTATTCTCGTTTCCATTCCATGAAAATATTTTCAAAATGCTTATTATTCAATTTTCAACATTCTTTTTTAAGTTAAAATCATAATTATATGCTTAGATCTCTCTACAATCATAACATTTACATTTTGTCGGTTATAGTTAAATTTTTTTGTACAGATGTGTCTGGTCGCCTTCGTAACGTTTCCATAACAACTGGAGAGATCGTGTCAAATACCTCAACATTGTGTGGTTTCTATGCTGGTCCTGGATCACTTGGTGAACTGGTCACTATTATCTGCCCGCCCTCTACCACTGGACGCTACGTTAAAATCTCCTTGGTCACCGCATATTTGACCCTATGTGAAGTGGACGTTTTTGTTGTTCCAGTATAAAGGGCAAACTGACAAATATTTTTAATTACTCTACATGTGGAAAAAATTACATTTGCGTTAATTTTCAGTCTCAACACTTGTTAAACCTTATTTTAATTTATCTTATATTCTAACATATATGTATTTAAGAAATAAGGTATCATTTTTAAACATCTATCGGGCTATAAATACGGGTTGGTCACGAGATCAAATTCCATAAAGCCCGATAGATGATACGTTATTACTTATATTTACATTTGTGACTTATTCATAGTTTACATTTGTCTGATAAATATTCCTTAGCGCGTGAAACGTTTTATTTTATTTTATATGTATAAATTTCATCAATATAATTATATAACCGTTGTTGAGTTATAAAATGTAAATAGAATACAATGGAGATATTCAAATTAAGTACTGAGTATACTGTTAGAGATGAGGTCTGTTTTAAAGTTTTAAAGTGTGTTTTTTAAAACTACAATGAAATATAAGATTTTTGACGCAAAATATTTATGTGTTTACACCATTTAGTTTTCTTCTATTTTCGTGCCGAATTTTTGCTCCCTGCACCCCCGGGTCGTATTTTCTCTTTTACGCATTTGTGAAAAAGGAAAACTTTATGAGTTCCTTTATATTCGTATGTGTAAAGCCTTTTATTTACTTTAGCAAACAAAACATGCATGTATTTATATAATCTCACTTTTTGAAGGAAAAGAATTGTCCATAACTTGGCGTGAGTTTCATTAAGTAAAATATTATGGATTTACATATATAAACCAATGTAAAACATGAAATAGCTTTACGAAAAGCGTGTGATAAAAAGAATCTCCCATGGTTTGTGGTTATAAAGCCAAGGCTCGGTAAAAAAAAAAAAAAAAAAAAAAAAAAAAAAAAAAAAAAAAAAAAAAACACACACAACTCGTTGGATATAAATTCATATCCAATCACAAACCATGGGAGATCCTATATACATGTATTAATTTCATTATTTTTTGAAATTATTTTTCTTACACTATGTTTCACTCCAACGTTCATGCATGAGCGAAAAGTTCTACGTGTTTACTTTAGATTTTTATCGCCTCTAGTCATGCGCATTAGATAGTTTTCAGTAAACCCAAATTAGCAAGAGTTATTTCCCGTTGGCCGCCATATTGGAGGTCAACATGCTCATATTCCTTCATTATTCAACCAACTTTAACTTTTTATACTGGCCATTGTGGGGTAGGAAACATTGTTTTTTCTGAAAAATATACATTAATTTTGCTTAAGCCTCCTTTATTTCATTATTTTTATTCTATTAAGTCTTTCTTAGATTTGGTAAGACAAAGAGGAAAAATTACCAGGTTGACCACCAAGATGGCGGCCAAGGGAAATAACTCGGAGAGAAAATACGTCATATGAAAACTATCTTATAGAAGCTTTTTGGAAATCCTTTATTACATACATGTACATGTACTTGTGTCCAGAAGCACACTGTATCTCTGGGACGTCGTTTTTCACCAAGTGGAGTTCTGCCTATCTGCGAGAGTCGTTCTTGACATTTTTCCTTTATTTGAAAATTGAGTTTATTTAAAATATTAAGTATTGCATGATTTGCCAGTTGCTTCTTCTCGGACTCCCTTCGGATCCGGAATATGCTCATTAATTTCAGTTCTTCTAGAATACTGTTCAATGTTATCATTTACTTGCTATTGATCGATTTAACAACTCTTCTAGAAAGTAAACTTAACTAAATGTAAATATAGTAAACTTTTATTTTTCATAACGTTAATAAATTAATTGCACATAACCTTTTTTACTAATTTGGCACTAATATAAATTATTTTTCAAATCGCAGATGGTTCACTTGTTTTTTGGATGATATTGCACTTGTCCCATATTTGTAGAAATTCACTTTTTCCATATCATTGTAAGTGTCTCTGACCAAAATTCTAAAAAAAAAAATATAATAATAATAATAATAATAACAATATACACTGTAGAAACACAGAACACAATGATTAATTTCTTCAGCTGATACAAACTTATTTCAGGGTTATTATTTTGATAAAAAGCAGTGAGAATTTATAATCTATATTCTATCACAGAATGTGAAATAAGTTTTTAAAATCTTATATATGAAAAATTATTTGATGTAATGCTTGAAATGTATATCATAATTTATCATACCAGATTAGAAATTGTCAATGAACTGCACTCTGTTGAGGTCCATGCGACCGACTTTGGTTAAAGCTTCTCTGTGATTACGAGTTTTTCTCTGGAAAATAATAATAATAATAATTTTAAAAAACATTAAAGAGTATCAGCATCATTTATGGTTTTTTTCTTCATGTATTTAGAATGTTTTGGGTTATAGATTGTAGATTGTATTGATGCCTACCACATAAGGCCTGTGTCTGGCACAGAAGCCTGGTTTTTCACGCAGACTTTTGGGTTTGGGTCGTGTGTAGTCTATCTTTTGTCTCACACACTCATGTCTGAAGTCAACTCGGGCCAACCATTCACACTGAAATAAAATAATCATGTGTTTCGGATTTAAATATAGTGAATGCATTTTAGAAAATAACGCCTATTTATGGTTGATCCCACTCAAAAACATCTTTCTTATTTTTTGCTTTGCTTCTCAAGAATTTTTGTTAGGTGCGAACCAACCCATATTCATTATCTATAGTGGAATTGCAAGACAAACCTTAATTTATGAATAACCCTAAATATCAGTCTCGTGATGTGCGAGACTAACTTCGAGCACAAAACAATTATTGCTATTTACATAATAGAAAAAAAATCACAAGTGTATAATTTAATTGATTCATATGAAGCAATTGCTATGTCGAAGATGTATCGCATTGAAATGATAACGATGTAGACGATGTACACACGGCATCATATCAACATTGTCGAGATTGCTTTTGTTTGTTGTTTAACGCCCCTTCTGAAATTTTTTTTTACTTATATTGAGACCCCACCACTTGCCGGTGGAGGTCAACAAATTTAGACCCATACTCGGCACTTGGGACCTTTGAGCAGTAAGGGATCTTTTTCGTGCCAGCACCTACCTCGGTTTATGCGGACCGGTCTCCACTTCGCACAGTGGATTCGTACCCGCTACGTAAGGATCAACACTCTAGAGCAAATGCTTTGAGCACTGCGCTATGACTTGTCGACATTGCAAAGTCGACGATATCGAATTGGTAAGGTGAACTAGAAATGCCCCCTCCTCCCCCCCCCCCCCCCAAAAAAAAAAAGAAACTGAAATTGCTTCTTTTGCACCTGCAGGATTCTGTTTTATCTTTGTTTCCAGACATGAAAATATGTTTACAGACACGAAATAATTCATACTGTCTTTTTCATTTTTTTCGACCTACCACATGAGTTGGGTATTCTTCTGTTGGGACCAATCTCCTTGTTTCTGATTCATTGATCAAGCGTGTCAGCTGTAACTGCAAACAGAGAACAGAACAATGATATAAATATGAGTATTAAAGATTTTTCAAATATTGTAAAAATACAAAAGTCCAATCTTGTAGAGGAAGCACTATTATTAATATTTACTGCCACCCGGTTAATTCAAAATTTACAATATCATGACACAATGAAATCATAGGGGCTTGTCTTCCGGATTGTTAAATGTAAAATAAATTTTAAAAATTTTGAATCTACTTTAAATATATTTAAAAGTTGTTAAAATAAAGATTTTGACACTTTCAGTCAAGAAAAACCATGTTCAAAAAAGACGTACGAATGAAATTGGTTTGGAATAAACAAAGATGGACCAATCAATAAAATATTTTTTAAGGAGGATCGTCACGTTATGGTAAGGACCCGGAAATAAATATAATATTTGATGACAAGTAAAATTCATTTCATGTATATTGTTTACCCATTCATCCATCCGTTCTTTCCATTCATCGGCCAGAGGTCTGTAGATTATGTCTCGCTGTAAAATAGTTTTCGTTGAAAATGAGAGAAAGTGAACGAAAAACAAATTGTAATTAAATTTAGATCTCAGTATGATCGATCATTAAATGAACATCACAATTTATTAGAATCACATGCCAGTCTGATTTTCCATTGTCAAAATTGTCGTTGAAAAAAGGGGGGTATAAATTACATTAAAATGACTTGAGAGGGAGGGAAAACTTACACCAGTGGCGATGACATTCTTTGCATACCACCACGCCTGATCAGTGGGTATATAGCTTTGTCTTGGGGGAATCTATTCAAAAGAAAATAATGACGAAATAAGAATATTAGGAAAATGTCCATAATTTGTCAAAAAACTTGATTTCAAGTTCAATCACTCATATCAGTATAAATGAAACATTCTGTTACTGAATCAGATTTGCCCTCTGAGGTCTCCAGTTCTGACCATGTCCGGTATTTTTTGTTGGACTCGTCAACCTCTGAATGTGTGAACAGGAAGTCCAAAGTATCACACGGGGATAACTTTTTGTCTGCGATACCAGATGTTGCATCTCCATCACTGACTGATAAAGTCTCCTTCTTCTTAAATTCGACTTTGCACTTAGGGTCCCCACCTTTGTCTTTATGTGAGCTATTCCCGTTATTTTTGTTGTGTAGATCTGATGGCTTGTCTCTCCTAGGGGAGTATCCAATAATAACACAACTGTCATCATCAGTGTTTCCTCCCAATAAGGTACCCGACTGTTTGGCTGCTAAATCATCACGAAGGGAAGGCTGGTCTGTCTTGTTATTTCTATTGCCTTTGTCCAAAGGATACAGTGTTCCTGTCCCTTCTATGTTGGTGCTGACTAATGTCATTTCTTTCTCAGAAGAGAAGCATTTTTGCAGCCCGATATCCGACTGTAGAAGATCATGGTCATCCACAGCTCTCTTTTGTAGTAGTTTGGGTCTTGCCCTCTTGTAAGGATTAAACTGTGAATATAATTTAAACAGTTATTTACTGTTTGATTCATAAGTTAATATACAACACAGCTATCGATTCCATTGTAAATTTTGAAATAACTAGGTGGAGGTAAAAGTAAAATTTACAACATGATTCATGCACAAAGTAACTTTAGTTAAATTTTGTATATTTTGCAATGACCTCTTCCTGGTAAATTAAAAAAAAAAATACAAAATGATATACATGATATGTAGCCCCCCCCCCCCCCTTCACCAAAAATGTCGATTATCATCGCTACCATTTTTTTTTTGAAGTTTCAAGACATATTTTTTGAAATATAGATAAGTAAAGGAAATAAAAACATAGTGATTTTGTGAATTTTCAGTGGTTTTGATGCAATGAAGTACTTTCTTTAAAATAATGCTACTGTCTTAGAAAACACACAGAGAGACAAAAATTAAATTCATGTTATTAGGAGTTAAATTCTTTTGAAGTTTTTTTTAAAGACAATGTATTAAAAACTTTACCCGTCTTGCCTTGTATGCACTGCAGTGCGTGAGTATTACTTTCAACTTCATGTTGAAATCTCAAATATTTGTTTCTTAATTTTTTTACACGTCCGATCACTATCAAATGGCGCCGTATCTATGACGTGACGTTGCCACAACGCAACGACATCAAAAATAGTATAGTGACGTCATCATGTAGATACCTATTTTTTTTTTCTCTTAAATTTGTTCACCATCTTCTAAGAAATAATTTAATAATATTATGTATGATATTAATTTGGATTTTTATTGTAAACAGGTGCATTATTTCAAATTCAAATGAGAATAATAGAAATTTCGCCATCTGGTTATTGTCTTACACAGTTTTAAGGGTAATATATACAAAAGAAAACAATTATTAGACAACCAAAAATTATACAATGTATATTTACATACCTGTTTGTTGGATCCTGTCGATAAAATTTGCAATTTTTTTGTTAGCTGGACTTGTGACGTCACAATCAACTGGAACGTGTACATGTGTGGTATTAGTGACATCATCTTTCGCGGAATTTACTAGCGTACGCAGAGTGTAGATACGACGCTGATCTAAGAAGTCTATTTTTATGAGATTGGGCCTTACTACTTTTTTATGTATATTTTAAAAGGAAAATATAGAAGAAATGTACATATGCAATTATAGCAGCTTGTGTACTGATAGTTCGAAATACATGTATCTGACGTTTTCCTGGCTTTTTTACGATTTGATATTTTTTGTGCCAGGAACATAAAATAACAAATCGTAAAAAAGCCAGGAAAACTTGGGATATTTCAGACTAGTGTACAGATAGTTGCATGCAATAAAAATTGTTGAAGGAGGGATTCTTCTTATACTAGTATCTATTGTATTTAAAATATCAATTTAAATTTTCACAGATTTTAGAGGACGAAATCACTAAGTTATGCTATTCTAAAATTTACTATTTTATTTTAGGAGAAAAGTTAGTTCTGAGTTTGTTTATGCTGGCAGCTTAGTGCCGATCCCAAGCCCGGATGAAGAAGGGGGGGGGGCGTGTAGGGTCAATACCCTGCTCCTGTAAAAAAAAAAAAAAAAGACAAGTTACAGAAGCATTGACGACAAACCAGACACAACAAGTATACGTCCCGAGATAGGAAGAGCCTTCATACATAAGGCTAATGACAGCAAACAGTGAAAGTCGAAAGGAAACTGTGAGGTCAGGTACCCTTCTAACACTCAGGAAAACCATGCGGATAGCTGCTTGGAACATCAGAACAATGTATGAAACGGGAGGACCATGAGCTTAGAAATTGTAACACCTCTATTCTAGGATGAAGCGAGACAAGATGGTTGCAGACAGGTTAGTTTTATTTAACATCAGGAGAAAAACTATTGTATTCTAGGCATACAGAAAAATTAAGATGTCCACCACACGGATGGTGTGACACTATAAATGCTTTCCCAAGTGGTCGCCATTCGCTGGGAATGGCCACTCGCCATTCGATATGGGAACCTGTCAGTGAATGTATCATCACAGCCAAGTTTGTTACAAAGAATAAAAAGATCAAGTTTAATATTATCCAGTGAACTATGCTCCTCCCACTACGAAGCAGACGAGAACAAAAAGTATGACTTTATAGCCAACACTGATTGGTCCTAGATACAAGATGTGCCAAGGATATCACAATCTTAATACAATTCCAAGATTGGATTGAAGAACATCGGCTACAAAGAGGTACACGTTATGGGAATACACTGTGTGGCAGAAATGAATAAAAATGGCGAGAGCTTTGCAGACCTGTGTGCCTTGAACCAACTGGCAATTGGAGACAGCATCTTCCCCCACAAGAGTGTACACAAGGCCACATGGATATCCCCAGACCTCGTCACAAAAAAACTAACTTGACCATCTCTGCATTAGTCAGAAGTTCAGGAGATCATGTCGAAATCTACGTGTGGTGAAAAGTGCTGGTGTGGCATCCGATCATCATCTTGTAGTGATGTCAGCAAGACGGGGACTGAAGGACTCCATCACCACATATACTGGTTATACGTACATGCATGTATACATTTACAGTTACAGTATATCAACTAATGGATTCGATTTCTTATTAATTTTACATACATGTAGTTATTACAATGTACATATATTTATCTTCGATTCTCTTCTTGAAGGCTTAATTCAAGAACTCGATCACGAATTATAAATGTTTACATTCGTCAATTTTTTGTGTTTATCAACAACCGTACCATGTCTTCTTTGACTTCTGAATATTGAAAGTATTAATATGCTGTACATTTGCAGGGAGGTGCATTTGAAATCAAAACAAAGTGTCACTGAAAAAAAATAAGGGCAGTCCCTAGGTTTCTGGAAAGGGGGTGCCGGGATACTCCCTCTCCCAAGCCAAAATAGTGTAAATTATGAATGGTACCATTTTGGTGGGTTCTGGCAAATTCTGAAGTAATTTTTTTTCCCCCGAAAATTAAGTAATCAAATAGGAACATTACTTAAAACAGATGAATAATGAATTTGGTTTGTTTCATAAAAGCATGTTAAAGATTTTTTTTAAAAGGGAGCACAAAAAAGAGGGATAATCAATGTTCCTACGTACTGTATTGAAACATGCATTTACAGATATATAGAACTTTAAAATTTTATATATTTTGTATCAAGTCAGTATGAAAGAAGATGGGTGAACAAGGCGGGCGAAGTGCCTATAGTGCGACAAACAAGAAGTGAAAAAATAAAATCTCAATTACATGTATATCAAAAATTTCCTTTGATATTTCCTCTAACATTAAAGTATATTTTATGTAAAATCTCTACAATTTACAAAAATCTCACAAAGACTGAAATTATTTGCATACGAAATAGCACACACACACTAAAGAGGACAAAAAAGATCATTTTCTCATACTTTAACAAACATTTACGATATGAGTGGGTCTTCGCTCTATTTTTTTGAAAGCAAATCCTAAAAGTTTGCATAAAAATATACATTTTTTGGTTTACAAAAACATGGAACAAAGACCCACTATACCTTAAAAGTACACTTTTATGACAAAGCATTCGCACCTTTCCGAGAAATACTTACGTCCACTAAGTTAAGGGTCATATCACAAACATGATTTAAATGCCACTATTCATCAGGGGTTGTGTAGCGTAGTGGTTAGCGTGTTTGTCTCAAAGCAATATGATACTCCGGGTTGTTATTGTTAGGGGTTCGAATCCCACGAATACTATTTTGTTTTTTGAATAAAAGAATACTTTTTCCCGAGATCTTTTTTTCTCAGAAAAGTTTTGTTGATCATAATTTCATAAATTTCAATAATGAGAACTTTACTTTAAATACTTAATTCACATACTGAATATGATTTTTTTAATATCTGAAGCTATATAGGCATTCTGCACGCCTTGTTCACCCATCTTCTTTTTATTTTCTTTTGTAAAACGTTATGTTTAAGTTAAACAGACGTTTTTATAATAAAAAATGGTAATAAGTTATTATATGCTACTTATTTTACAAATCAAATCTTAAAACCCTCTATAATATACACTTTAAGCAAAATGTTTTCTTAGACATTGACAACATTTTACATGTATTGTACAAAGGAGTAAATATTGAGCTTATCCATATCATTTTCAACATAGGGTACCTTAAATTTACCCCCAAGAAAAATGTTTAAAGAATGAAGTATTTATGAACAGAAATCACTACTGTTCACGTATGTGGGGATAATACATTTCAATAAAGTGTTCAATTATAATTAATATATCTTGGCCTATAAAAATGTTAAGAATTGTTTATTTTAAAAATACATGATTACAAATTGAGTAAAACACTGTATATTTCAATTTCTTTTATTTCAGTTTTAGAGCAGATTACTCTTACTGATGCAAATTCTCACAGAGATGGAACTCTTTAGTGTGCAGTGTAGAGAGGGTTCTTAAAGCCCCCCCCCCCCCCGGCTGTACCTGCCTATGGAAAATATACATATTTATTACTGTATTGACATATAATTGACCTTGCATTGAAGTCCGTCAAGTTTTTAAAACTTTTACATTTTAACTGGCAGAGCCGTTCCTCTTCACAATATCAAGGTTTGTGAAGGGGAACCTTGACAATGTGAAGATAATAACCGTCGGGCTCGGTGTTCTCGATTAACTCAACAGGATGTTGACAAAAAGAAGGCAGAAAGCAGAACGAAAATGAGTTTTGACGTAGTTCCAGTACATTTCATCAATGACAAGAATTGTTTTATATCACTTCCATCTCCAATCATCAAAAAAATTGCGAATAAATCAGAGGTATTTCATCTCAAAGTGTTACCCCAGAGGTTTTGTTAAAAAGCGGGATCTCGGTTTTCAAGAAATCGAAAATATAGGTCCAACCATAGACATTCAACTTGTATTGACTCTGTATTTTTTCAGTTATTGGTGTTCGAAGTTCAGGCAGATGATGGTGTCACAGTATATGCATCAGTTAAAGATGTCACTTCAAATAATCACTTAGGAATCAATGGATTATTTGCTGAGAAACTAAAATTGAAAGATAAACAACAGGTTACAAGATACACAAATATTACTCGATTAATGATATATTTTATTAAACTTATGTTGCAAGATAATATGCTTCTTCTTTCATGTTATAAGAAATAGCAACATGTTTAATATACTTAGCCTACTTCTGCTTATATTTGCTAACCAAGTTTTACAGTAAGATAATGCTCCTCTCCTCCTGGGCTGTGCTGCTCTTTGGAACATTTGATTGATATTTGAAAAGTTCTGAGAATTGTTTAATAAGATGAATATTGTTTTATCATAACAGAAGTAATGGTGTTTGACATCATTGCAAAGGTCAGGTAAAAGTGTGTACATTTTTGATGTCATTGTCTTTTGTTACATATAACTTCTAAATATATTAAACATCATAATCCAATAATTTATATGTTAAGTGTAATGACCATTGAAATGATGTAGAAAGAGAAAAATACTGAGGCAAAGGTTGAAAATGTGATATATTGTACTGGCTATACAAGAAATTGAAGTATTTTTTACCCCATTCATGCAATCACACCAGGACACCAAAATTCACAGGGCCTGGGAATGAAAACTGTATCTTGAATTGTTTAACAGAAACTGAAAAACTTGCCACAGAAACATAGAGTTTGTGTTTTATTTATACTGGATAGGAATCCTGTCAGTGCTGCTCAAGTTTCTCAAGAACACTGAATTGTTATGACTTGTTTTATAGCTCAATACATACCTCATTACATGTATGTGATAAAAAAGGCTTTTTTCAGGTATATAATGAACTTATGGGATTAAGATGTCATTAAGGGGTCTAGGGCTGTATCAATGTATTGATATATCGATACATATGAATATTCAAGAATATATCATATTGAAAAAATAACTTCCAATATGCATCGGGCAGGCAGTGTTTCATGTAATTCGATCTGTGGAAAAGTTTGGAATTTCAATTACCATGGATTATATTTAGCTGTTTTCAATTAAAATTGATCAATAATGATATAATCATTAAGGAGGTAGCACATCTTGGATAATTATTACAAAATACATACATTTAACATGTTTATTTTACAGTTGTTAAAAGTTTGAATTTGAAGTGCAATTTGTAATGACAGTGAGACAAGAACTTTAAAATGGGTTGCAAAACAATTAGTTTTTGTAAAATTCATGCATCAAATGATTTATAAGACTTTTTTGATAGACTTGTTAAAGAATCCAATATATCGCACATTGCATTATAAAATATCGTATTGTATTCAAATTTTTTGCTCAATACACAACCCAATAGGGGTCGCATCAGGGGTGTAGACTAGAATATTATGCTTTTCAGGACAAGTTTAATGTCATCTTGAGAAAGTTTTCTAAAGATGCAAACACCAACAACATGATTTTCATACTAAATGACTTTTCCAGAATATTTGAGAATGCCTTTTTAATTTACTACCTAACTTTAGAGAAATTGTATGCCCGTCATTGCCAGGCATAAATTTATGTTCTAGTTGGTCCCAAGCCTTGCTTTGCTAATGGTAATATGTTGCATTAAAGATTGAAGGATTCATTTGACACATCCCTTATGATTAGCCTTCAGTGTTGTTCAGGTTGTCCTATCAATTTAGGAAAAAGAGATTGTTTTATATGGTAGAAGCATGCATTATCTGGTTTCACTGCACTGTTGTTTCTACAGGTCATTGTGAGGGTAAAGAGAAACGTTCCCATATGTAGCCAGGTGTCTATTGAACCACAGTCATGTGATGACTGGGAAATATTGGTAGGTATCTAAAAAACTTTTATAGTTGTTCCAAATGATTGGAAGTATTCTTTATCAACATTTTATCTTCAGTTGCTCATCATACTAATAGGAGGAAATTACTACTTAAGTATTCCCAGAGTTTGTGTTGAAGTGAGCATTTGTGAATTTGGTGTAATGATTCTAGTAATATTGCAAATATTTTCAGTTGATGGTTTAAGTGACTTTGTTTTGTTCTAGGAAAAGCATGCCAGTTATGTGGAATCTCACCTGCTTGACCAGGTGAGGGTTGTATGGTCTGGTCTTGTCCTACCTGTATGGGTGGAGAGAAATGTCTGTGTCTACCTGAAAATCAGTAGGTATATACAGTCCATTTGATGGAATAAGATTTACATGCATGTAAATAATTTTGAGGATAGTATGGTGTGATGACATTATTGTTGTCAATGAATGGATAGATAGAAATATACGTTCTACCTGAAAATCATGTGGTATACTAGTATATGCAAAGAAATCTACTGTACATCTGGTTGGATAAGATAAAAATACAACATATCTCAATATAAATATATTTATATCTTAGGGTAATGTATCAGTATTCTGATCCCATATACATGTACATGTTTATATGCTTAAGTACAAGAAATTGCACACTCTTTCTATTTAAGTGTACAGTATTGTTGATAAAAAATGATTTGAAGAACTGTTAATGTTTATTTGCAGCTGTTACAAATCCAGCAGAGGAATGTGTATTGTTAGTCGATGACACCGAGGTTGTTGTGTCTCCTAAAGTCCGAGGGGCTACGGTCAATGACTGTAAAGTAAGGAAATCTAGTCCCTCCCCAGCCAGAGAGGAGGATAAACTTAAGCTATCTGGTGAGAAAAGTTTTGACTCTAATAATTCTGTTAATTCTGGGTATTCTTCACATCAAATGGATATTCCTTCAAAATGGAGTTGGAAGGAATGGGTGCCATGGTTACTGGGTGTGCAGAACACTTCCAATAGGATTCAGGAGCCATTCCATACAGGTTTTCCAAATTTTCGTAAAAAGTCGATTGATTATAAAAAGACAGATACTATTCCGGAAGGACTTAATTTCACATTTCGGGTTCAGCCTCAGAGAATAAGAAATATGTGCAAAAAGGGGAAAAAAGAAGAACTTGTAAGTCCAACCCCAAGTTCAGAAAACTTCGAAGAGTGCCCATTCTTACAACAGCCAGCTGTTGTTTTCGTAAATACAGAAGATATCATTGAACAAACTGGTAACATGAGCTTACATGTTCCTGGAATGTTTTTAGCCAGACTTTCAAAGCTTTATTCACCTAAAGTTCAAATGACAGAAATGGAAAAAGAATTGAATGAAGAAAAAAACAAAGGGAAACAGAAATCAGTCCAATCTACAAAGGGTGAGAATTCAAAATCTCCACCAAATAAAGAGAAAGACCACTTGACTCAGTGTGTTGTAAGAGTAGTTGTGCTGGACAAAAAGAAAACCAATACAAATATTCACTGTGAACAGATGCTGAATGAAGTGACGAGAGAGCATCCAATACTCTGCCATCATGTGCTAATTTCTGACACTCTCCGGAGATTGATGAAACTCGATGCAACCAGCTGTGTTTGGTTGCAGACAATATCTACCTTTCCAATTATGCCCACTTCATATGAAGTTTATCCAGTAGGAAATCTAGTTAGTATACACATATAAATAGTATTGTAGCTAGTATATAGAAATAAAACATAAAGTACCTCTTGAATATTCACATCTTCATATGTCGCACAACTCTTGCATTGATTCTGAGTAAAATAAAAAAAGACAGTGTTCAGTTTAAACATTGAAACAAAAAAAAAAGAGCTGTTATGGTGAACATGAAAGTCAGGATTGATGTAGTGGTATAATTCTTATAATTGAAGTTTTTTTTTTTTAGCCCCCTAATTTCAACAATCAGATGGTAGAGATGGCCTTTAGGAGATGGATATCTGTTGCCACAACATCCAAGCTTCCTCTGGTGGTATTCAGTGGAATGCTAGTAGAATTTCTACTATTTAAGGGTACATATACTTCAAAAGTAAAATTTGAAATTTGTTAAGGTCATATGCTTGCAATTTCATGTGGTGGATTTCTATTAAAATTCAGAAGTCCATTCTTCATTGTGCCCAAAGGTATATTTGAAATATATAAGTTAATATATATTTGAGATCTGATCTGATATTTGAGAACTGGGTCTGAATTTTTCCTGGAAAACTCACTAGCTTAGGGGCTATTGATCAGTAAAAAATTACTCGGACTAACTAGCCCAATGATTTTTTATGCAAAATGAAAACATAACACAAGTAAAAAATTCAAGCACTTTGGTGACAGAAAAAATTAAACTACTTCTCAGTCAAAAAAAAAAAACCAAGTCTGCATAGAAAAGAAAAGTAAACTGAAAGCATTTTTTCTTTGGTTTGCTAGTCTGTCGCACCATCGTTACATTTAAATAAGCTAGCCCGAGTCCTAAAACAATTAGCCCCTGACATTGGGCTAGTACCGTATATTTCAACCCCAGAATATATTTGAATATAATTTATTATATTGGAAATTCCAAATTGTTCACCTGCAAATGAAATAAATAAATTTATTTTATACCAATTTTCTACTTTTTGCACAGACAAAAACATGGAATTCCAATTAGTTTTCCCAGGGGAAGTCCACCAACAAAATCCAGAAATTCCTCCATACAGCTTAGTGAACCAGGGCAATATGAATGATGCCCCATTAAATGTGGTCAGACATGACACTCATGCTTCACCGAGATGGCCTGTCCTTCCCATGCTGCAGTACACCAATTTAGACACCATTGACCCCATGCTTCCTCGGACACAGCTCTCTGATTTAGGGTAAGGCTGTCAGAAATTCATCTGAAATCAACATTAATTTCATGTAGATGTAAACAAACAAGTAAAGTATGATGGGATATACAAGTTGTTGTAAAAGTGTACAAATGATAAAAAATAAATTGGATGTGAACAGGTAGATGAGTTTTTTATGCCTCATCTATGAAATGGTGATGTTGATCATTTGTGTATCATTCCATCACTCTAATCTGCGAGCTTGTTGAAGTATGTGTGAGATTTCATTTCAAATTTGTATGAAGGCTCTGTGCTATAAAATAAAATTAAACAATTCCTCCTTCTCCCCCCCCCCCCCCCTTCTCAAAAAAGTCTGGCTTTCAGGGCAGAAAATTGCATATTTTAAGAAATAATCTTGTTAACAAGTGTCGGACTTCATGCTTAGCGAGATTCCTTTCTCTTGGTATTTGGAGGGAAACTGAGTTGGTCAAAATATTGTTTGATCAAAACTATTGGTTGGAAGGGGAAGGGGAAAATTAGCAAATTGAGAGAAGTAACCTTTGGTTTCCAATCTGAACTCTACTTTACAAGAATAGATGCCTTTTCAGTAAAGACGGCATCTTTTTTTTTTCTTAAATTGAATCCCAGTACACTTCAGAATTCATTGTTTGCTAGTCTTTCAAACTGACATTGAGGATGAAAAATCTTTAAATTTTTTTTTTTTTTTTTGTAATATTTTAATTTGTAATACTGCATGCACATTGTGTCATTTAGAGTAATGTTCAACAAATTTAAAATAATTGGTTCTCTCTTACTTTAGAGGTGTGGAAGAGTACATACCCAAGGCCTTATCACACTTAGAAATTTGCCTGGGCATGAAGCCCCTGGCTGACGGTATGTTTAAGATGACTACCCCGGGGCTCTACAATGGAATGCTCCTCATCACTGGGAGTAGAGGAAGCGGCAAAAGTTCACTTGCCAAAGCTTTATGCAGAAAAATGGCAGGAAAAGAAAATTTGGCTCATATCTTTTATGTAGAGTGTAAACCACTCAGAGGTATGTGTTCTATATATATATATATATATATATATATATATATATATACAGTTGAACTTTGGTATCTCGAACACTGATATCTCGAATATGTCGAAGTGATTTGGAAGTCTTTAAAGATATATACGCTATATAAATGTGATTTTTTTATGTGAAACAAAATAAATAAATGATTTGAGAAACATGATGTGTAATAAAAAATAATTACTTTCCACCAAGTTTTACTGAATAAGTCGTTGTAATTACATACAAATTAAGCAAGATCTGCAATTAAAAATTCAGCCTTTTCATGAATATTGATGGAGGAAGTGCGTAACCAATATATAGACACGCATGTCCCTGGGAAATCAAAGATGACGAGGTACGTTGCATTTTGACTACAATTATGGATAAAAGATTAATATATGTCATTAAAGAGTAGATGGTTAATACTGGTTGTTTTAAAAGATAAGTATCTTTAAGGAATTAGATGTGTGCCATCAATGTCAAAAGTTATTAGCTCATCTGAGCCGAAGGCTCAAGTGAGCTTTCTGATCACATTTTGTCTGTAGTCCGTCTGTCCGTCTGTAAACTTTTCACATTTTCGACTTCTTCTCAAGAACCACTGGGCCAATTTCAACCAAACTTGCCACAAAGTATCCTTGGGTGAAGGGGATTCAATTTTTTTCAAATAAAGGGCCATGCCCTCTTTCAAGGGGAGATAATAAAGAATTAGTGAAAAATTAATAGCATCTTTTAAAAATCTTCTTTTCAAGAACCACAGGTCCAGGAAAGATGAAACTCATGTGGAAACATCCTCAGGTAGTGCAGATTCAAGTTTGTTCAAATCATGACCCCCGGGGGTAGGGTGGGGCCACAGTGGAGGATCAAAGTTTTACAGAGAAATATATTGGAAAAACCATTAAAAATATTCTTCTCAAGAACAGCAAAGCCATGATGAGTCATATTTATATGGAAGCATCCTCAGGTAGTGTAGATTCAAGTTTGTCCAAATCATGACCCCCAGGGGTAGGGCAGGGCTACAGTGGAGGATCAATGTTTTACATAGAAATACATGGGAAAAACCTTTAAAAATCCTCTTCTCAAGAACAGCAAAGCCGTGATGAGTCATATTTATATGGAAGCGTCCTCTGGTAGTGTAGATTCAAGTTTGTTCAAATCATGACCCCCGGGGGTAGGGCGGGGCCACAATGGAGGATCAAAGTTTTACATAGAAATATATAGGAAAAATCTTTAAAAGTCTTCTTCTCAATACATTTAACAGCAAAGCCCTAATTGGTCATATTTATATGGAAGCATCCTCAGGTAGTGTAGATCCAAATTTATTCAAATCATGACCCCCTGGGGGTAGGGCGGGGCCACAATGGAGGATCAAAGTTTTACAGAGAAATATATAGGAAAAATCTTTAAAAATCTTCTTCTCAGGAACAGCAAAGCCTTGATTGATCATATGTATGTGAAAGTATGCTCAGGTAGTGTAGATCCAAGTTTGTTCAAATGTTGACCCTATGTGGTAGGATGGGGCCACAATGGAGGTTCAAAGTCTGAAATAGAAATATATAGGAAGATTTCTTCTGATGAAGAACTGCAAAGCCATGATCAGTCATTTTGATATGGAAGCATCCTCAGGTAGTGTAGATTCAAGTTTGTTTAAATGATGACCCTCGAGGGTAGGGCGGGGCCACAATGGAGGATCGAAAATTTTACATAAGAACATATAGAAAAAATATTTCTTCTCAAGAACAGAAAAGCTATGTTTAGTCATATTGATATGGAAGCATCCTCAGGTAGTGTAGATTCAAGTTTGTTCAAATGATGACCCCTGGGATAGGGAGGAGCCACAATGGGGGATCAAAATTTTTAAAAACCTTCTCAAGTACAACAAAGCCATTTGTTATATTGACATGGAAGCATCATCAGGTAGTCAATGTGCTCTGGTGAGCGATGTGGCCCATGAGCCTCTTGTTTGTATATCAAACGACCTACCTCGTTTTCTTGACGCCATTTTTGTTTATCAATCTAAAAGTAGCGACGGTGTCACATGACGCATGAATTTAAATAGAGACATTACTATCCTAGTAGGAAAATAAATAATTATAATTTGAGATCTTTATAACGCGTTCATTTTCACTTGTGTAATTTACAGTATTTTCCTAACTTTATTTGGTAAACAAAATAAATAAATTTCCAACTTTATTTTTAACTTACGCAAGTTATAGCGTGTATATCTTTAAGTATTTTACCCTCAATATCTCAAATCCTCAAATATCTGGAAGTTTTTCTCTGTCCCATCAAGTTCAAGATAACAAGGTTTGACTGTATTTCTTTATTTTCATTATTAATTCAGAAATATCTACACATGTACAGATATAGCAGGGACTCTGTGTTACAGTGTACTTATGTTTTTATATAAAAATGCATGTTTGCAGTTTCTGCATCGTGGAAAATTGAAGTGCTCATTTTTTTTGCATAAGTTACACGGTGCAAGGTCAAAAGTATCTTGCCATGAATCTCTAGTAGTTTATGTTATTTTCAAGTACAGTAAAACACACTTATAACGAAGAGCTAAAGATGGACAATTTTGCTTTGTTATATTAAGCGTATTTCATTATATCTGTTATGTGTTCAATACATTTTAAAGCCAGAGGGAATGAAAATCGCTTTGCTATAATAAGCGTCAATTCATTACAAGCATATTTGCTTTAAGTCAATAACTGTGTTTTACATAATTTAAAGATAAAATTTTTTGACTGTCAGGAAAACGTCCAGACAGTATTTTGAAGTATTTAGAGGAGGTGTTTGATGAGGCAGTGTGGAGGCAACCGTCTATAATTCTTCTAGATGATTTAGATCATGTGGTGCCTGCCCCTTCTGGCCCAGAGGCAGAACTTGGTGGGGAGGCAATTTACGGAGCCAGAATTGGTGAAGGTATGTCATTAGTACTTAAAATACCAGTCAGTTAGGAATACAAACAGTTTGCAGTGGTAAGAGCATGGGCTGTGTTCACTAGAAAATTTTATTGTTGCTTAGAACTTTAAATTTCAATGCCTTTTGAAAGAAGGAAGTTTTTTTTTTTTTTTAAAAAAAAGATCCTGCCATATGTGACTTGCATTTTTCAAGAAAACCAGTTGGTTTCATTTAATCAAACATATTATCCATAAAAAAAACAACTTTAAAACATTTAATGCAAAACCTGTTTAGTAAGAACAAGGATATAGTTAATTTATGGATATAGTGAAGTTTATTGGGATCCCTGGCTATATTCTTACGATATCCTTGTAAAATGTTATGGTACATGTATAATGAACAAATATAATGAATGTAGCAAACTGATTTTGTTTCCAATAGACTTTCAAAATAATGAAAATAACATTTTTAATGATTAATCTTCAAAATCTTGAAATTCAAGCTATTGAACTAACATAATTTTTTGTGAGTGCCTGTATTCATATTTGAAATTCAATTCATCAGAAACCTTTAGTACCCCAAGGAAAGTTTTGTATCTAATACCTCACTGTATTTGCTAGTCATACTAGAAGGAAAAGATGTACTTGTATATTGCAAATTTGCTATATATACTTTAATGGATTGAATTTCATTAAATGGATATAATCATTTATGTTGAAGTAAATTCACAGGTCCCCCGGACTTTGCTACCGAGTTTTATTGTACATTCTTGAATGAAATGTTTTCCCCTTTAAGTGTAGGTTTGTTTTAATTTAAGAAACAAAAATGTATCACATTTTAACAATGCAAATAAATTAATTTGAAGGAAGAATTTTTGAAATACTTTAACATCATTATAGTGATAAGAGACATATTGCGGAAAGAAATTACCAATGGAGGTCTTATTGCTGTCATAGCAACAAGTCAGTCTCGGAACTCCATTCATCCCCTTCTGATGACTTCAAGAGGAACTCACTTTCTACAGGAACTGATACGAATCAATCCTCCAGATAAGGTAGCTTCATAAGGCCACAAATGATCACTGAAGAATAGTTTGCTATGCAATAAAATACTGTATAAGCAGAATATTTAGTGAGGTTTCAATTTTGGCATTATTAGCAAGGGTTTTGAGATCACTAAAATTGAACATCACTAACAATTTATTCCATATAGGTTGTTATGAATATCTTTCTTGACATTATAAAATCACTGAAATTACTTATCACTAAAAATATATACCAATTTTTGGAGGATAAATTCTAAATTTGCATCTTGCTAAAAATACCACTTATACGGTATGACAAATGTTATAAAAAGTAGTGAAGGAAATTACACTGATGAAGGGAAGTTAACCCAAGTTCTGCAGATATTCTTTATACTGATATGCATGTTTTGTCTAAGATTACTCCATATGAATTCAGAAACAATGTGGAATAATTCTCATCTAATTTTTTTTAAAAGAATCTTTATCTTGTTAAGAAGAATTCCACACATCTTCATTTCTGGGAAATCAGATCTTTTAGAAGAAATTCTTTTATCTCTTCATGGATTTGTTTATTTAAAATACATGTAATATATAAAAATTTAAAATAAAAAAAAGTTACCATTCCTTCCATATAAGAAATCTTTTCTGATTTTTTTAAAACCAATTATTGTAATTTTTAATCAGGGAAAATGGATTCACACACAGTTGAATGACATATTTTATGGAAATTTGCTCTCTTCAAAGATGTTCTGTACTGTTTTCATGGAAACTTTCATCCCATGTTTTATTACACATGTGCTAGAGGGGAGCTAGAGGAGAAAAAAACTCCTTCTGTGTCTTTTTATAACTTTCATGACTTTGCTAAACCCAAGTAAAATCTTCTTTGCTTTTGGCCCATTTTAATACCGTCAATATTTGCTTATTTTGCCAATTTAGGATATGTGGTGAACAGGTGAAAATGGAATGGGGCAACAATCTCCTTGATTGTTGTATTTCATTTTTTTTTTCAGAAAAAGAGACAAGAAATCTTTAGAGCAATTATCAGGAACAGACACATGGTTTCTCAGCAAACATTAGAGCAGCTGGATCTTAATGTTATTCTGGGAAGAACAGAGGGTTATGTAGCACAAGACCTGGAAAATCTTGTCAGTCGAGCTATCCATGCACATACTATCAAGCAAGGTAGGAAAATAAATACAAAATTTACCCTGATCTTATGTACACTGTAACACTGTACACTAATGAATACTTTCATTAGGGACATACACAATGTACATATACACTTACTTTACAATGTACTTACCTACTGATAATTTTTCAAGATATCCTAAATTAAAATCATGGTACCATTAGTTTGTAGACAAAACATCAGCATACATTACCAGGGGTTTTGAAGATATATCAAATGATAAAAATCCTTGTGTTTTTCAAAGAAAAATTAACAAAAATATGGTTGTATGTGGTTTTTCTTTACAATTAAATTTAAAGGAGGTGTACAGCATCATTAGGAATAATATTAGTCATTTAGAAGTCTATCAATTATTGAAATTTTTAAATTATACATGGAAAGATTAAATAAAGCTCAAATATACAATGCGTGTGTCCTAAATATTAATAACAGGATACATATGTTTAGTGCTTTATTTTTATTAGCTCACCTGAGCCAAAGTAAACTTTTCTAATTGAAGAGTGTCCAGCATCTGTCTGTCCATCTGTCTTATGTTGTCTGTAAAGTTTTCACATTTTCAACTTCTTCTTGTCGTGATCGGGAGGTTGTGAGTTTGAATCTCGGCTGCGACTGACCCAAGTCGATAAAAAATCGGTAGCAACTGTTCCTTCACCATGCACTCTGCACTTTGAAGTGAAAGTTGCAGGTCCTTCGGATGAGACCTTAAAAACCGAAGCCCCGTGTCACGGCAGGCGTTGGCACATTAAAGATCCCTCACTGCGCAATAGCCCCGAGTGCCAATAAAGGTCAAAATTTGAAGCCCTTCGCCGGTATATGGTGACGTCTCTGTATGAATGAAAAATTCTCGAATGGGACGTAAAACAACATACAATCAATAAATCAATCTTGAGAATCACTGTGCTAAAATTCAACCAAAACTGACGCAAAGCATCTGAAAGGAATTCAAGTGTATTCAAATGAAGAGCCACAAAATCTTTTAAAGGTATATGATTATGAAATAGTGAAAATTTCATGCGTGATTTGTTATCATCATTGTAAACTTTTATCAATTTCATCTCCAGAACCATTGAGCCAATATCAACCAAACTTGCCACAAAACATCCTTATTTATATGGAAGCTTATCAGTTAATGTAGATTCAAGTTTGTTCAAATCATGACACCCTGGGATGGGGCCACAGTGGGTGATCAAAGTTTTACATAGGAATATACATATGAAAAATCTTTCAAAAATCTTCTCCTTGAGAGCAGCAAAGCCAGGATTAGTCATATTAATGTGGAAGCATCCTCAGTTAGTTTATATTAAAGCTTGTTCAAACCATGACCCCCAGGGGTAGAGCAGGGCCACAGTAGAAGAGCAAACTTTTACATAGGAATATATTAGGAAAAAAATCTTTAAAAATCTTTTTAAACCAGGATTAGTCATATAAATATGAAAGCATCTTCAGATGGTGTAGATCAAGTTTGTTAAATCATTCATCCTCCCATGCCCTTGGAGGGGAGGGGGGGGAGACCACTGATGTATTTAAGCCCCCATTCACACATAGACGCTTATTTTGAACATGCTCAAAACAAGCATAGCGGGATCGTGGCCAACAAGAATCGGGGTAAAGTCTTAAAAAGAGCGTATTAGAAGCGCCATAATCGTACAAGCAGTGCGGAAGCATCGTGGAGAGATCTTCGTGATCGTAGTAAAAGCGCAGTAAAAACGTAGTACAGTCGGGAACTTATCAAGTATGCTCCTACAACGCTCCCACTACGTTCTTACTACGTTCCCACTACCATGTAAATTGTAATAGAAGCGTAATACAATCGTAATATGATCGGCACCACCGTAGCGATATCGTCGTACAGTCGTCTAGGTCTGCGTAGCGTTGTAGTATCTCTTGAAAGTCGTAGCGGCAGCGTAGCGTAAATGCAGTAAACGCGGCCGCTGGTCGGCAACAGTCTGCGTAACATCGTAATAGAAGCGTGTTAGAAGCGCGTTTGACGTAGGGGCATCGTAGTATGGTTGTAATGAAGACCATAATTTGCCAAATTTCTTGATTTATGGACGCCGATCGGCTCCGATCCGCCCCGATCCAAAACTTTTTCAGATCATGGCTTGATCGGGATGATCGTCGTAAAGTCGCAGCTCTGTGTGAACGGGGGGTAACTTTTCAATGGTGAACTAATTTCTACTCTTCTTAGCCAAAGTACTCAGGTGATCAATGTGGCCCATGGTCCTCTTGTTACACCTTTTATGTATTAAACTGTTGAACACCCAAAAATGCAAATAAGATATAGCTTGTTGACTCATGTACATGTAGATGATCCCACCAAAGCTGTGGATTAATTAATGAATGCAAATTGAAGTTTGACTTGAAACACATTAGAGCTTTCCAACATCTTACCAATCTATCTACATCTCATCTAACTGTCCAGCATTATATTTAAGGGGGACCACTTGTGACTTTTTAAAAGTAAAGATTTATATAAGCAATAATAACTTCTAAGGTATTACAATATGTGACGTTAGTTAAATCCTTCTTGGAGCCAACAGGCTCAAAAGGCTGGTGTTTGTACCTGAGTTTCTTTGATGCTAAGCAGGTGAGAGTCATTGACTCTCCCTAGATGGGACAACAGTCCATCGCTGGTTAACCCCAAGTGTAAGCTGGTAAAGCACAATGCAGATAAAGTGTCTTGTCTAAGGACAACAAACAACATCAAAGGCCTATAGGGGGGCTCAAACCAGTGATATCTGGGTTTCTGGCCAAATACCTATGACAACTGAGCCATGTGCTCAGACTTATAAGAATGTATAATGATCAGTTTCTTATTGGTGATAATCTTTTTGTGCACAATTTTTTGTTGCAATCATTCATGCTTGTAGTAGCTATAGAATTCAGTGTATAATTCAGTGTATTCTTCAGAATGTTTGTTAGCACACTTTGCGTACATGTAATTCTGCATTGTGTTGGTACCATATTTCATTTTTCACAACAAATTAACTTGTGTGCCTCTCCATATTTGGTATTACCTCTGTCATAAAGAGTGTATACTGTCATGTTGCATTGTTTGGTACAGTGTGTTACCAAACTATATAGTGAGAATGTGAACTTTAATTGAGCATACATATATACTTTCATTCAAGAGTGTGTGTGATATTCCCTCTGACACACTGAATGTACTTACATGCTGCACAGTGTTTTGGTATTGCCTTTTCCTTGTGATTGTCATTTTATGATGCACTACATGTATTTTTGGTATTTCCTCTGTCACATTGAGTATACATTCATGCTGTATACTAGTAATACATGCATTTGGTATTTCCTCTCTCATAGTGAATGTCCTTTCATGCTTTCATGCTGTACTGTGTTACTTGGGTATTTCCCCTGTCATAGTGAGTTCACTTACATGATGTATAATGTTTGGTATTTCCCCTGTCATAGTGAGTACCTTTCTTGCTGTATTGTGTTTGGTATTTCCCCTGATTAAACAGACAGTTGCTTTTTTACTGCTTGTCATGTGCAACTGAGCATAACTAATCCTATGATCAGTCTACTGTGAATTTCACAAGATATTGAAGCCATATTGTGTATATACAAGCATTAATTAGGATTTCTACATAGAATACAAGATTCCTATGTGAGAAAAACTGCCACATTGTGTTTATATCTGTTAGAGTTAGGTGTGCAACATTGTGGACTTGCCTAATAATCTTGAAATATCTAATTGAAATATCCTCGTGAAAAAAAACAAATGAAGGAAAAAGTGTTTCTTTTAGTTGAACTTTCATATTCAACTACAATCAGGCAAATCCCAATATCTTAAACCTCTATTATTAGAGAAAAATGATGGGATCTTGATAGTTGTTGTGATGTGACTTGTAGACAATTTTGGATGAAGGACAAAACATGTTTTTTGAACAGTTTTATCCATATCCTGTTGGATTTCCATCAGTGAATGATCACAATGGATGTACAGTAATGCCTTGCAAAACCATTTTGCTACTTCCATAAAAAAGACTGGTATTTTACAACACAGACATCTGTAAAGTGTTAAACTCCATGACAATTCTTGTAACCAACCATTAATTGATACTTTCTGGATGGAATGGAAATGTGATTTACTGATGAATGAAATTCAGCCATATATTACATTGTAAATTTATGCAATATTGCCTTCATGTCAGTCCAGCTGCATAAGTCTTTACAGTGCAGTACAGGGGAGATTGCTGACTGTCACAGGCATATTCTCACAGTGTGTTATCAATAATTTATGCCCACCATGAATATGGCCGGGGCATAAAGTGTTTGTCTTGTTTGTCTTCTGTCCTTTGGTCCATCTGTCCTTCCGTCAAACTTTGTGTATAGATCAGTGTCAAAGAAACTATTCAAGATATTTTTATCAAACTACGTATGCTGATACATGTTGATGGGAGCTATTCAACTGCATCAAATTTTTTTTTGACCTTGACCTTCCCTTTGACCTTGACCTCACTTCTTAAATTAGTGTTTAGCTCAGTTTTAAAGAATTTTTATTAAAGATATAATCAAACTGTATATGCTGATACATATTGATGAGATGTATTCAACTGCATCAACATTTTTGACCTTGTCATTTCCTTTGACCCTGATATTACTTTCTTAAATTAGTGATTATCTCAATTTCAAAGAAAATTAAGATATTTTTATCAAACCTTATATGCTTATACATATTGATGAGAGCTGATAAACTGCATCAACATTTTTTTTTTACTTTGACCTTCCCTGTGACCTTGACCTCACTTTTCAGGTCACCTGAGTCATTCAGGTGACCTATTGCTATCCGTTTTTGTCCGTCGTCGTGCGTTAACATTTAAACATTTTCAGCTTCTTCTCTGAAACCGCTCAACCAATTTCAGCCAATTTTGGCATATAGCATCTATGGGTGAAGGGGGACAAAAATTATGAATTTCGTGGTCCCTGCCCCCCTGGGGCCTGAGGGGTGGGGCTAAAACCACCAAAATTAATG